CTCTGTAAAACTCTTCACGATCCAGCCTCCCATTGCTTACGTATCTCAAGAATCACTTTGGAATCCAGAGTTTGGGTACATTTAGATCAGATAGGATTGCTGGTTGCCCACTGGAACCGGATAAAATTATGCAAAAGCGAAAAAGAGGTTCTTTTGTTTACAAGTCCGATCTAAATAAAGGAATTATTCTTGTAAAATGGCATGAAAACAAATGTGTTCTTATTGGAAGTACTTCGAACCAATAAATCCAATCAAAAGATACGACAAAGTTAGTAAACGGAAAATTGACGTCCCTTGTCCTTCCATTATAAAGCAATATAATAAACACATGGGAGGTGTAGACAAGGCCAATTCTCTTTTAGGACTATACCGTAGTCCAAGTAGAGCCCGAAGGTGATATTATCCTCTGTTTACCTATTTACTCGACATGTGTGTCGTTAACGCTTGGCTAATTTATAAACAAGATTGTGCGCTATTGAAAACAAAGCCACTACCTTTAAAAAAATTTCGACTTGAAATAGCTGAATCTCTTCACAAAACAGGAAAACTAGAAAAGCGGGACGACCATCGATGGACGAAAAAATAGAAAAAATTTTCCACTATACCACGAGCAGACCAAACAACGCTACTAGATAGGATAGTGTAGGACACTGGTCCATTTATGGAGAAAAAGGGAGATGTCGCTTTTGTAAAAATGGTTACACTACAGTTCATTGTCAGAAATGTGAAATGAGACTCTGCTTGACACCAAACAAGAATTGTTTTTATAACTTTCATAATAATTTTCGATGGTTTCTGTTTACATAATTGTGAACAAATTAAACTTAAGTTATGTGCATTTTGGGAGTTTTTATGCAATAAATTGCTACAAAAAAATACTAGTGTTTCCTCCATTTGACACGTACAAAAAATTAGAACTCAAATGATCAATGTTGCCTCAAAGCAACATTCTAAGTTTACCACTAAATAACAATGTTGCCTAGAAGCAACCTAATCAAACTTCACTTTATAGATAAAAAATTAATATTGGGACAATATAGATATATAATTTGGGGCTTACAAGTCATCCACACAAATTTTTATAATTTTATTAAAATTATTTAGGTGTGTGTCACAGGGTTAAAGGATCATTAGTGGAATAGTACTCAGGAACAGCAGACAGAGTGTTAGCTCACTGATGACCGCTTCAATCTCAGTTTGAACCGAAAGATGCTTCTGTCGGCCTGCGGTACTACTCGTAGATGAATAACTCAGTCTCTTAGAACAAAAAAATTAAAAACCCATTCAGGTAATCGAGGGAGGTTGATCTATTAACGACGCACAATAGCTTCTCGACAAAGACACAATCAAAATAATCATAATATTAGTTGTGTTTACAACCGGAAAGCTATCTACAACCTGAGTGAACATGTTACCAATGTCTAAACTCTCGGTATGCTGTGTACCGTTTTTTACCAAAACAATTGATTGGTTAGACTGCGAGATACATCTAAAAGGCTGTACCGTCTACTTGTCGAGAAAGCATTATGCGTCGTCAAGACCATCGCACACTTTTTGAATCCCATCTAGTTTTGTGGGAATTCCGAATTAAATCCCAGAATTCAGGAATTTCTTCGTTTTCAATTACAGAAGCATATTCTTACAGAGTCAGTTCGGTTTTTGGATATGATTAAGCGAAGTACCCTAAGTGATAATTTGAACTATAAAACAAACGGTTCCTGCTACAACAAAAATAATAAGAACTTTTTTTTTTAGATAATTAGATTCTTTATTGTTCTTATGTAAAACTGTTTTTGTACGATTTCTAGTTTCAGAGTTACAATTTTTTGTCAAAACTTTTATTAAAGGCTTCTATTGATAAATTTACTTGAAGATTGATAACAACTATTTTTAATCTACCAAGATATTTAACAAAACACAATTAACAAAAGTATTGCAGAGTTGTAAATCATAAAATATCGGTCATATAAAAAGAGTTTCAAATAAAAACAATAAGAAATTAAATTATCTACAAAAATAGTTTTTACTATTTTTGTCGTAGCACGAACGGTTGGTGAGTTATTTAAAAGAACAGGATTATTATTAGAATTATCACTCAGAACACTCCACTTAATTATCTCCGAAAGCCAAACCGACTCAGCAAAAAGAGCTTCTGGAATTAAAAACGAAGGAATTCCTCAAATTTGCGACTGAATTCGGAATTTCTACAAAACTAGATGGAATTCGACGAGTGTCGATACACAGCAGATCGTTAGACACAGGTAACCCTTTACTCAGATCGTCGTCCAAGTAACAATGTATAATTGTTTTGAGAACGTTTTCACAACAAATATTATAGAACTATTTCGTTTTAAAAACATTTTAAAAATAATAACACAACTATATAGCAAAACTGGTTGCAGTTTTTTAGTTCTATAAAAGTATTGTAAATCACTATTATAGAATGATTCTAAAAATGTGTTCTAAAGCACTAATAGAACCGTCCTGTAATGCAATAACAAGGACTAACATAGAACTTCCGAATATGAAGCTAAAATATCCCATAAATAACGTTATAGAGCTTCTATAGAACTATTCATCTCTATAAGCTAAAATCCTATAAATATAGTTGTATAACGTTTTCAAAACAATTATATAATTGCTCTATAAATTGTTCTATAAATACTTTATGCAAATTTAATAGAACTGATTAATGTTTACAAAAACAATAATACGGAACCTGTAGAATACATTAAAGTAAAATGTATTCTATATATACGCTCAATTTAAAAAGCAACATTGTTACTTGGGAGGTTCAAACTGACATTGAAGCGCTCATCAGTGAGCGAACACGCTTGTCAGCTGTTCCTGAGGACTATCCCACTTCTGATCATTATTAGAACTTTTAAAAAAAGAATATGTGCGATATTTTCTGTACGTCATTATCTATAGACGTACAAATGAAAATTTACAAAGAATTTACAATTTCGATTCTTCAAGAAAATCTGTCACTTCTGAAAAGCTAACGAAGAGCACAAATAATGCAGAAAATTCCCCGTTGATGTAAGTTAAGCGAAGGAGAGTACTTAGGCCTCACTAGACCCATTGTGCATCCTCCAGAGGTCTGTAGAAACTGTCTCTTAGCTAGTTAAAGTCGGATAGGCTAATAATTTCGCTGAGAGGTGTCTCTAGATGGAAGTGGCCATTTGGTGGGCTTTTACCACCCCGTTGGTAAATTCCCGGGTGGAGCTATTCTGTCCGCCCGTTCCACAGGGCGCGCGTTGGTCTATAATACAATCAAATTGTCAATTGAGATCGAAAAAATTGGAGACAAGCTCAAATTTTTGATGTTGTTTCTGAAGGGTCTAAAAGGTCAGATTACATTTTTTTGGATTTGTATTTGTGGATTTATCTCGATTCCAATTGATCGGAGAAAAAGTGTAAAAGCAAACAATGTAGAGTTCAAAATTTGCAACATTCTTGTGTCCAGTGACGAACTTTCTGTAGTTAGAATCCAAAAAAGAAAGAGGTAGATTGAAGTTACCAAAAATCAGTTTTTCTGCATTTGGACTGTCAAACAGTGATTTTATCTAAACAATATAAATAGAAAAGTTGTAGATCTCAAAAAAAAAAACTATAGATTAAAAACGAGAAAATAATTTAAAATCGTTAAACGAATCAACTTTCAACCAAAACTGTCATTTAAAAGTTATTTTACGTAAATAAGATAGTATAAAATTTGTGGGCGTGTACACCAACTTTTTTGGATAATAATTTCGGGACAATTATTTTGGGAGTAATTAAGGTATGCAGGAATGAAACGACAGAGAAAATCGAGCATATTATGACATTTATGTGACACATGACAGAAATGTCATTTGTTTGACAAGTGATGGAATGTCACTTGCTCTGACAGATATTAGATTAAAGAGTTATTGCAAGTTCACTTAAGGTCAGTCACTATTAGTGCCGCTCTTATTTTGACATCTGAGCATGCGCAGATCACTTACATTCTAGAACTAGATTTTAATAAAGATTGTGCCTGTCCTTAATTGTGGATGTTTAAGGACAGCAGTTATTGACGACTTTATAATTTTCGGGTGCCTTCACCAACATTATGATCAGTTCGAAGTTTTTTAATATTAAATATTTGATATCAGTCATTCAAACCTTCTAAAATGGTAATTTCTAATGGCCCTTCCATATTATGTACTATTATAAACAACAAAAAAGATAAACTGTAATTTAAAATGAGGTTAGAAGTATGTATAAGGACTCTAATGTCATAATTTCAGGTTTATTTTAGCATAAAACTTATTTGCCTCTAATTACTTTGTCACTATTAGTGGCTGACGTTATAGAAATTTTCAATATCTCTCTAATGATTAGAGGGAAATGTATTATAAAAACGTCATTTGTTTGACAGGTGACAGGAATGTCACTTGCTTTGACAGATGATGAATATTAGAATGATTGGAGGGGAGGGTAGCTAAAGGTGAGTTATAGGTATAGAATACGGTAGGGGAAGAAGTCTTTTAGTATGTGAGAAATAAAGGACTTTCTTTCCACCACCATATTCGATATTAAAATGATCCGAATGTAAATATGCTATATTAGTGATGACGTAATTTGAGTACCAGTTCCAATCACAGTAAATTTATAAAAATAGAAGTTACAGATATTCATTCTTCATAGAACTAGGGGTGAGCAAAATAATCGATTATTCTATTCGATTTCGATTAATTAAAATAATCTAATGATTTCTTAGTGTAAAATGTTAAAACAATATATTTTAATAACCTTTTTTATACAGTTTTTTAATTTGGGTTTGTATTAAGAATAATTAATAGCTTTTATAGCTAAATAATAGATTAATCGATAATTTTTTGGAAAAATTGGTAATGTATTAGCAAACTAATTTTTTTTGAAAAATCGGTAATCGATTAATCGTTTTGTTATTACTCGAAATAATCGATTTTTTATTAATCGATTATTTTCGATTAATCGATTGTTTGATTAATCGATTTTCGACTTTTGGAACTGCAGTCTCGTACTCTCTTTGATCATCTACTAACAAATACATTTCATCCGGAGCTAGATTTTTGAAGAGGTTATCTCCTCTGGCTAGGGGCCCCGGGATAGCCACACCCGTATCTGCTCGCAGATCCCCTGAGGAAATTAGTTGCCTTGGAAGTGGAAATATTTCTAAATAGTTGCTTTAAGTATCGAAGAAAGTGATGGAGAAAAACGGAACAAATATTAAAAATTAGCAAGAATCAACAAAAAATCGAAAAAGAAAAAATCTACAAAAAACTAATCTAACTTTTTTGTTGATTTCTATAGATCTTTTATCAATCGACGAAAAATAAATATCCAAAACCGTTTACGGTGTACACTCATTTATCGATGACGCACGATTTATCGATCTGTCGATACAGAATTAGCCTGTTGTTGGACGTTCTCGGTCAGTTCTTTACCTCTGGTTTCTATGGGAAGCAATAGACAACCCACGGCAGCCAAGATGGCAGCGGTAGCGTATATTGTCGTCGAAACGGTGACAGACGATCTCAATAATACCTATAAACAAAATAAATAAAATCGGTTAGTTTTTATACAAGTATTTAACGGGCCATAGGAGCCAGGCTAACGAGATCAAAAACAGAACACTCGGTACCCACTAAAGGTAAAAATTTACCAAAGATATTCAATAATTAATCGATAAAATCGATTCCAAATTTAACCAGACTCTTAAGATAATATTTACTATTCATATTATTAAAATTTGTATGTTAATTTTTTATACACCGAAAAATCCACAGAGAGAGAGAGAGAGAGAGAGAGAGAGAGAGAGAGTGTGTTTCATTACTTTATTTTGATTAAAAAGTTTCAAACAACAAATTTAATATTTTCTTATCAACTGGCGCACAACGTGGGGCCAAAATTATAAAAGGGAAGTTGAAATTTTTGGAAAGAAATTTGGGTGATTATTTGCATTAATTTTATTTGAATTGTGGAAATAGAAATAAGGAAGAGGAGAAAGAAGAATAAAGAAGAAATAATGAAGAAGAAGTAATGAAGAAGATACATGAAATTATAGAAACAAAGACCAAACAAACATACAACACAAAAAAGAATGTTTAGAGATAAAAAAAGAAGAAATACATACAAGAAAAGATATAAAGATAAAAATGGAATAGTTAAATAAGAAGTTAATGAATACATATTAAAATTATATGAAAAAAGAAATAAGTATCAATAAAGGAAATAGAAGAAGAAAATAATGAAAAGTAGAAAATAGAAAGAGAAAGAAAACAAGATAAAAGAGAATTTATTGATAAAGTAAAGTACCTGCGCAACGTAAGGAGTAATCATAGCTCCTAATCTAGCCATAGCACTACAAGATCCCACTCCGACAGCTCTCAAAGAAGTAGGATACACTTCGGGCGTATAAACGTACGCAGCTTGGAATACTCCTGCTATGATACCTCTCGCGAAGAACAACATGGTCGTAAGAAGGGCTCTCCTGAAAGAAAAATAATACATTTTTATTCCTAAAGTTTAATTGCTGCTTAAAAAAACCTTGTTACTTACTTTTCTGTGCATAAAACCAGAAAACAGCAGCAAAAAGCGTACGCCACAAATTGCACGGCCATTGTTTTCTTTCTTCCGAATTTTTCGATAATTGCAATGGTAATGAAGATTCCTGAAAGAATAATAAATGAATATATAATGGTGGCTGCACAATAGGGTTATTACGGTAAGGTCCTCCCAATAGTTACATTATTTTCAACATAAAATATAATTTTATGTATACCTGGAAATTCCGCCAGGGTGGTCCACAACAAATCCATATAGTCAGTGGTTTGCAACTCTCTACACTCCGCAGCGCAAGTATCGACAGTTTGAACTACCATATTATTATCGGAACACAAATTTGCAGCCGTTTCGAACAGCTCGGTCGTCATCAAGACCAAACCGTAGTAACAGAACGCACAAGCCATCCTAAAATAATAAAAAACAAATAAGTTCCTTGTAAAGAAAGTTTAACTGCATGTTCCTGACGAAAAGGACTTAAAAAGTTTTGAGCCTAAAAGAGCATGGCATTCTCTTTTCCAGCGATGGTGTCAGAAGGGGTAAATAGTGGATGAAAATTTCTAAAAAACCAAACTAAGATCTAGGTAATAGTGATGTAACTTGACAAACCGGGCCCTAACCTAGTTTTCCAAATACCCTTAACCTTGGCCTAAATTTCGTCTAGTGGATAACCACGAAGTGATGTTAAAACCCCCCAGAATTACGATTAGAGTTCAATGTAGCTGTAATGGAGGAAGAACGAAGTAAACACAGAGATTAATTTGGAATACTGTTTATTTAACATCTATTCCTTTGTACAGCCGGGCATTTAGATTATGTGCCGTTTTTAGGCTTAAAATTATGTTTATGTAGGCTTTCCAATGTGTCATTTCTAACCTCAGAGCTTTTAGTTCCCATAAAAGGGTAAAATAAAAGTCGGAAGTACTTTGGTTTCAAATGTACAATCACACGTTTCCACGGAAATACTGAATTACGCATTGTCCAATAAAAGAGAATACAGCGGTAGCACGGGGAGTTCGGTGAAATATAAAATAATGTTTGTAACATGTGTAAACAGCGGTGTATAGATTTACCTTACCGTCTGTCACGCCTTTCCCTAATATTCCAATGCCGTAATGTACTGACATACTCAGTCCTGTAAGGCAAACACTGAACGGTCGATCGTAGAACACCTGATATAAAGGGGGATGCCCGTCAGGTCCACTTTTGGGGTATCTCAGTAGATATCCATCCTGCCTATATCAGGCTTTAATTTACATAGCCCTTGCGGAAATACCATTTTTAGGCTCTTACTATTGAGGTCCTTGGCGGTCTATGGTGGCCTAAGGCTCTTTTTCGGCGCGATGCTCTTTTGCTCTGTCGATTGACAAATCATTGTTATTAATCACAGTTCTGAGGATACGTTAGCTAGTCCACAAACACAATTTCACCTATTTATTTTAAATAAATAACAAACATACCGATTACTTCCGCGTAATGTCCCGCTAAAGATATGTGGATATGTACAAATAAATCCGACGCTCCTCAATATTCATGATTCTACCCGCCGCTGTACATATCCCCTTTATCCCGAAAAATCGATATACAAAACTAACACTCTTTAAGGCTAAAATGACACATTTGTCTACCCAATTTTGTTTTACAAAGAACGACAGAAAACATATTTTTTAACCGCAATCTAACTTTAAAATATATACAAAACAAGGCATTTACCCTACTAATCTACATCTGTTTGCCATTTAAAAGTAAAACTGAAAGTGCGTTTCCTCTTTACTGAAAGGGGCAGGTAGTGTTTACAGACAAGCCAAAACTTTACAATTCGGCCCTTTGGCCATAAATCTAAATGACTTAATTTATTACTTCAGAGTGTTGACCGACTTTACAATAATTAATATTTATGACAACGTCACTATCGATTCTCTAAATAGTATAATTTAGCACAATATAAAAACCCTACAATTTTCCCCACAATAAACGTTTATCAATGAAGACCAAAAGTATGACAATAACACACAGACGCGAATTTTCCCGCTAATGAATATAAAAGTAATAAAGTGATACCTGTAACCCATCAATGTTAGTTTAAACTCTCCCCCGGAATATATGAATATTAAATACTGGTTTGATTACTTTAATAGTGCGATTATCGTTTTAATTCTACGTAAAAGAAACCTTACAAAAAAAAAGTATACCGCTGATAAAAGCGTCTACCTGGCGCAAGTTCGTCGGGTCAGCCTTAAGGGTGACGAAATCCACTACGAACGTCGCCTAGAGTAGTACTTTTAATCATTTAGTAACATTTTATAATGTTGAATCGGAGATATAAAATATCTGGCGTTTAACTAGACTAGCATGGTATCACCAATATCAGTTACACCAATATTTTAGTCGCTCGGTAGATACAACCTTACAAAACAGTTCTAGGAGCGAAATCTATTCAACGTGCATCTGCTTGGTCAACCTGACTATATATCTCCTTTTACTTATATATATAAAATATAAGAAAAAGGTGGTCATCCTAAGAACAACTGAATATCTATGCAGAAGCCGTCGTTTATAGAAACTAATTTCTCTACTTCGTCGATATCTTTTATTTCCGTTCTCAAAATATACCAAAAACGCGGCCACCGTAAGGGTAGCAATATCTCTTTTTAATTATATTTGAGAATATAAAGAAAAAGGAGTCACCGTGGCGATAACGTGGATATTTGCGTTTTTTGTTAACTTGACTCGGTGAAAATGAAAAAGCTAATCCCCCAGCCCACAAAAACCCTGGTATTTATACTTAAATTTCCCATATATGCAAATGTATCAGAAAGAGAACGACTGTGAATTCGGTGTATAAAGACTATAAAGCCCTGTATTAATCCCTGAATATAGTACTATCAGTTTACATCTGGTCTTTTAGCTAGCGGCCGTTACAGTTTACACGTCGATTTCTTTTCCCAGAAGTAATTAAACGGCGCCTCCGAGTCGGGAGAAGCTGGGATGTTGTTTGAATTCGAAATAATAATAATTTGAATATAATATGTAATATATAAGAATTATTTAAATTAATTATCAACCCCCTTGTTGTCGGATTTCAGTGAATTGTGTTCAAAGTACCATTCCAACCTTATTTTAATCATCTTTTCGAAGGTTTTGGCAAAACATGATAAAAGAGATATTGGTACTATATGATGAGGGGTCATTAGGGTCTTTTTTGGGTTTTAGGATACATATTACAACAACTTTAAAAGTTTCTGGTAATTCTCCTTTCTGCCATCACCGATTATAGATTTCCAGAAGGACATAGTTTGAATTTGCTAGTATGTTATTGATCATAGTGATTATTGAATAAGTAAAGCTATCTTTACCGGGTGCAGTGTTTTTAAAACTGATTTAAATTGCGCCGGGAACTGGAACCAATAGAAAGTAAAGTTTAGATCTGGAAACTTTTCTATTTTCGATTGTTGCGTTTTCTGCTACAATTTATTCAATACCCTTCCATAGAGAATAAAGTTTCTTCTGATATTTCTTCCTTACTGATATCTCTTCTTTAAAAAACCAAATGCCTTCTTCGTATTGGTGGTGAAAAGAGCTAAGCCACATTTTTAGGCAAAATGAGTTAATTATATCACATAAATAAAACAATTCTGAAAAATACAGTTGTGAAGATAGATAAGCGGTTATGTAATTATAACCTTAAAATCCCATAAACTGAAAGAAGCTAGGTGAAAATACATATATCTTTTTCAGTGATAAAGTTTTTTAAGCGACATACCTTTCTTTTTTTCCCGTTTTTAAATCAGTCTTAAAATGAAGGACATGTTTTTGTTTGTACCAAATGTTATCATATTTAGTGAATAAAAACATAAGATTTAAATCAAAAGTTGTTTTAACCTAAGAGTTGCAAACTTATTTACCCATTTTCTCCAATTAATAAGTGTGTGGCCTAGCTCTTTTCACCACCAATACGACGATATGATCTCTATGAAAAACGAAATATCTTCGGATTTAGAAAATAAAATGAAATTTCTGCTGATATTTCTTCTATGTACGAGAAAATAAAAGATATGAAAAAGAAAGTAGAGATAATAGAAAACAAGGTGTGAAAAATACAGAAGAGGCCAATAAAAAGACTAAATAACGTACTATAAGATGGAATAAAGGCCAAAATTAGAAGGAATTGTAAGTTCTGCTCGTGTTACAGTCCCAACTTTCTAAAAAATATCATGGACCAATTTCCTAAAACAATTCGAAAAAGCTGCAAAAGCAAACGAAATTATATGAAAGAGAAAATTTGACCATCGCCCTTTGAGGAGATGCTTTAGATGTCCTTCAGACTATACGCGAGGAAGAGCTGGATGACTTTGAACAACTTAAAAAAAAAAAGAATTAACATTCCATATGACTACGAACACTTGGAGCATGTGAACCAATCACAGTTAAAGAATCGCAAACAGAAACGTTACATTCCAAATTGCATGTCTACGGATACAATAATTCCTTATTTGATTAAGATATTTGTCTTCTCTGCCAAACTTTAAGCCGAAGATATAAAAAATTATCGTTGGGCGCCAAATGTAGTGGTTGCTGAACTAATTCGAAATGAAATTTTGGGCATGGAAACTGCGAAATATAAGGAGATGAACACCACTTTCTTCAAATAAGGCTTCAAAGTGACATATAAAAAGACACAGTCCACGTAAACAATGTCCAATTTTTTTTCAATTTGCTCTGGCGTTAATTTCGAATTTAATTATAAATACATTGATCAACTGACATAAACCTATATTTACACCTATATTTCAAAGCATATATAATATTTGTAGAATCAGACTAATGACATCTCTGTGTTGAGACTCAAAACTTGTCAGACCATCCTCTTCCTCTAAAGCGATAAAAAAATGACCAGATTAATAACAGGACAAAGTATATTTACCATATAAACCAAAGCAGCAGCGAGGTCTTCCTCAAGGAAGGTACCAATAAATCTTTAAACCTTCCTCTGTGCGGGCTTGATGTGAAGGAATCATCAACAACTAATCTTCCCAAGAGCATTGGTTTTCCGTTATCTTTAGCTATCTTTTCTAAAGTTTCGAGCGCCTTGTCGGTTTGTCCGCTGGCCACGTGAAATCGAGCAGACTCTGGTAACCACTAAAAAAATACAAGGACTAAAAACATGATCAGAAAAAGTTTTTGATTTAAAAAAGATAGTTTGACAAACTTAGGTAGATATAAACAATTGAAAGTTTGGTATATCCACGTGAGCTTTCGTAGAGCTTGTTTAAATGGTAATTATAGTAACTGACCGCTTAGCCAGTGTCGAAACGCTGGTGGTTTATAGTAAATTTTATTTGCTGCACTAGGTTTAAGTTTTCTGCACTAATCGCATTTGGTTTGTTCAGTGTTAGCTTCAAATAGTTGACACATACTTGAGTATAGCATATACTTTTGACAAGTATGACAGTTTGAATACAGTGTCGAGTGTGCTTCCCAGGAATTCCCATTTTTAAACAATTTGCTAATACCCTCGAAGGTATTTGCCGAAATTCGAATGGGCAACTGTAGATTCAATTTCATGTCAATTATCTACTTGTGTTCCTAAAAGTTCTGAAGGGACATTTTTTTATTTTTGCACTAGTACAGTCGGATTTGGAGGTGGTATCTCCCACTCCGAAATTTCCGGGCTTCCAGCTTGTCTGCTGAGAAGGCATAAATAAGACGGGCAAATCAAATTTCATTCTCTTTGACTCCTGACCACCGTAGTCTCTTCTTCCTCTGCTGTAACTGCCGCTCTAGTGAAAGTTTTATTTTCCCGTCGACCGAGAGTATTAGTGACCAAAGTGCTAGCCCCGTTATTCAAGGTAGGACATTTTCTTATTTCACTTTATAATTTAATTATTCGGAGAATTTTGATTCGTATTCAGAGTTGTTTTCATTTCATCCCTTATTGGGGTAACCATTGGTAATTTTTTCTCGAGATTGGACTGAGGCTTGATCTAATTGCATCAGAATTTCACGACTCTATCCAATCTCCTTTAAAAGACGCCCTAGTCAAAGCTGGAGTGAGAGGTTTAACTCGATTTTGTCATTTTTTATCATTGGAAAAGCCGCCGTTTTTTTTTTTTTTGAGGTTTGATTTGTTGTTATTTTAAGTGTAGAGCAATTTCAACGACGGTATCCAGTCTTCTTAAAAGAAGTCCTAAATAATTACTAGTCCGGACGGTCCTCGCTCCATGCTTTTTTTATTCTTACTTTCTTCAAAATCATTCTGTTTTTAACTCTTAAGCGAGCCACCCGAATTTCCACCGAATTCACTAACGCCGTTTCGTGCTTCCATAGCACAATATCGCCTCGATGCCGTGATAGACATCAGATTATCAGTTCTGGCCGCCAGCCGATGGTTGGCTATCAAACGCCGGCTGGACTCTGAATACGGGGGGTTGCCAAAATAATCGTTCGCATTAAATATTACTAGTGCCAGTAATTAACTCTTATTTTTTTGCAATCTTCAACCGATATTTATAAACAATTTATTTGTTGGGAAATTTATTTTCTGTATACAGGGAGCATCGTAGCTACCCGTTTTTATTTATTTTGAGCTACTTTATTGATCACCCGTAATATTTAAAATTTAATTATTATTTAACCAAGATATTTAATATAATTTTGGTAGTTGGGAAATTCATTTTCCGAATACAGGGAGGTTCATAAATTTCCGTTTCAATTATTTTATTATATTATCCATCGTTATATTTAATTTATTTTCTGTATACAAGGAGGATACTAAATTTCCGGAATCATTATTTTCCTGTATTATTCGACCGTTATATTTAAGTTAAATTTTATTTATTAAAATATTTATTTTATGTATACAGGGCGGTTCGTAAATTTCCGTTACAATTATTTTCTTATATTATCCAACTGTTATATTTAGTTAATTTTGTTTATTGAGAAATTTATTTTCTGTATACAGGGTGATTCATAATTTCCTGTGTTACTGAACTGCTATATTTACTTTAATTTAATTTAGTGGGAAAATTAAATTTTATTCATTGATAAATTTATTTTCTGCATACAGGGAGGATCATAATTATTTTCCGGTAGTATTCAACTGTTATATTTAATTAATTTTATTTACTGAACATTTATTTTCTGTATACAGGGAGGGGGCTAAATTTCTGGAATAATTATTTTACTGTATTATTCGACCGATGTATTTGAATTAAGTTTTATTTATTAAAATTTCTGTTGCAATTATTGCTCACTGTTTGATTGATTTTATTTATTGAACATTTATTTTCTGTATACAGAGAGTGCCGATACCGCGCACCAGGTGTCATTTTTTTTTTAATATATTTTGTTATTGATCCCTACGTTTCTTTTATTACCGGTTCTTAATAGTTTTCTTTCAGGGTACCGTAGGGTACGAAGTATAAGGGAGATAAGTGACTTAATTTTGATTTGGTGGCTACCTCGTTAGCAGTGACCGATTGGAGGTATTTTTAACTCCACTGAGTTTACTTAAGTACATTTTGGTGTACTCCAGGGCCGCAGAGCTAATTGTGTTACCAAAACTGGCGCCCGCGCAACCCCTATTCTATATTCACCACCTTAGGCGCCATACTTCCTGATTCACTGTAGGTGAAACCAGAAGGTGCTTGTTGATCTGGAGCAACTTCCACCACTTCTCTCTTGTCACCCCAAGCACTTGCTCGATAGTGGATTCACAGAATTCTTGTCTTATCAATTGTAGATCGTTGTCATTTATTTTGAAAGTCTAGGGTTTCATACACCAAAAACGTTAAACCCTTAAAAAGAAAGCTCCCATGCTGTACCAAGCTTTCATTTGTCTATCTCTACGACACAGGACATGTATTTGGAGTTTGCTTTTAGAACTGGAACAATTTACTCCTTACAGTTATTTAGTTGAAATACTAAACTGTTTACTATTTTTTATTATATAAAAATGAATAAAATAAAATGTTTGGCAATGAATAGTGAAGTTTCTACAGACATCAATTTATCTTGCATTCAATAGGAATTTCCCCAATTTTAGTTAGAGCACGTAAATTTGCACACTTTAACTCTAAATGCACAAGACGTATAATTTGTCTGTGCATTTAGCGTAAGTTGGCTGTTAAAATGACACTATCTACTTACTGGACAAATTAGAGCAAACGCAAACAAAGGTCCCGTAGACAGCGCGAGCAGCCAATGCCATCCTAACGTTGGCATTACGACTAGCGCTAGAGCTACCTCAAAACATGCACCCAACGCCCAAAAACACTGAAACAAAGGCAAAAAAAAACAATAACGGAAAAACGCCACACACAAAAAAGCGCGAAAACTTACATCAAGCAACACAACACACTTTGCCCTTTGCTTTGTGGGCAAAAATTCGGCATACAAGGTGACGCTACAACAAAAAATTGTGCATAAAAAAAACAAATTTACTTATTAAAAATACAGTAACCAAAGTACACTAAAAATAAAACATTGCATCCCAGTACGTAAACCATAAAAAAAATCTACTAAAAAGTAGTTAATACTTACGATTGAGGCGTACAACCTATTGCAAACCCTACAAGTCCTCTCAACAGTAAAATCCACATAAAACTGGGTGCAACAGAACTGAGAAGTCCATAGTAAAACAGCAATATCGCGCATAATTTCAATGCCTAAAAATGGAGGATTGTACAAATATGTATAAAATCACAGAGATAAAGTTAGATACTCAATACCGTAGGTGAGAATATGTCATATTAGGGTGAGCCAAACAAAAACAGACCATTCTGTCATTGATTTTGACATAAACATAAATATTCACTCATTACATGAGGCATTTCAAAACTGGTTTCATAAATAGTTAATATTACTTATGTAAGTAAATAAACATCTAAAATACACTTTTTGTATTCTGGTTCAATTAATTTATAAATATCTTTATTTCCGTATATTTAAGCAACTCATGGGGTCTATTCTGTAACATTTTAGTTAATTTTAACTGCCAGGTTGTTATTTATAACTATGACTTTTAAATTTTAACCCAAATTTCTGTTCGATATTCCATCAATTTAATTTTGTGTTATTAGCCATTTTATAACCAATCACAGTTAAAGTAGACATGGCAACGATGTAATATAATAATATTTGACATGTAATCATTAGTAGATTTTTTATTGACTGACGTAAGTTATCATTTTAACCAAATAGTACAGAATACAAAATTAAAAATGACATCTGGTTATTTTTACAACCCAGAGTTAATTTTAACCAAATTTTTACATAATAGACCCCTATATCTGGTGATGAATGAATTGAACAGCCTTGTTGCTATCTATACTTTTAAAAAATTCAATTACTGTAAACCTGAATGATTTTAGGGAAAAGTAATTAAATATCTTAACTAAGTCAGGGATTGAATAATAACAGAAAATGTATATAATTAGTTTGAAAATTAATGTGATTTAAAAAAATAATAATAATAATTACATGTTTTCGGCCATATCTATCGCTCAAATTGCCCCAAAATGTTGAGGACAACATCATACCCAAAAATACAACAGTTGTGGTCAAAGCTTGTTGATACCTGTAAAACAAACAAAATAGTAATAAAAATGTTTATGAAAAGGTTTTTAATTCTCTATTAATCAGTATAAAGAATTTTAAATTTGCTTATAAAATGTTAAGAATGATGGAAATTAGTTTTACTTTGAATAGAATTTTTTTTGTAACTTTTCGACTAAAGAAACATAATATACCAGTGCAATAAATGACATTTTATAATAAAGTCCCTAGCAAATAAAAAATCACCCGGAATAGATAATATACAAACAGAAATAATAAAAGAGAATTTAGAAATATTTACCCCACTCTTAACTTATTTAGTTAATAAAATATTACTGCAAGGAGAGTTTCCCATAGAACTAAAAAGATCGTTAGTGATACCAATATTTAAAAAGGGCAATGAGACAATGGTAACAAACTACAGACCAATATCTTTAATCACCTCTTTTGGCAAAAGGTGGAGATAATGCACTAAATTTAAGATTACAAGAATACCTTAATAAATATAAAATAATTTCTATAATAAAACAATTTGGATTTCGAGAGGGATTTTCTACAACTGATGCAATTCTAGAGTTGACCAAAAGGATTTATCACCCGGTGGACAGTAATAAACCTAACCTAACTATTTTCCTGGATTTAGCCAAGGCCTTCAATACTGTACATCACGAACAGTTATTGCTGGCCTTGGAAGATGCAGGAATATGGGAAACGGCATTAAAGCTTTTTGAAGACTACCTTAATAACTGATATCAACAAGTTAAAGTAAAAGAGGAGTTAAGCGAAAGCAAATTGATTAAAACTGGTGTACCACAAGGGACAGTCCTTGGTCCTGTACTATTTTCAATATATGTAAATGACTTGTATATTCAAAAGACTACAGGCCAAATTGTAAGCTTTACTGATGACATGGCTATTTTTTACGAAGCAGATACCTGGGAAGAATTAAAATATAAAACAGAAAATGACTTAAAAAAAATTATAGATTGGTGCACTCATAAAAAGCTTACTATAAACTACAATAAATAATTTTTTTTGCCTTTTACAAGCTATAGTAACAGCTTACCAGACTATAATAAAATTAGTATCAATTATAACAATCAGGAAATTACCTTACAAAAACAAAATAAAATACTTAGGTGTTACTCTAGACTGCCACTTACGATGGGATAAACATGTAAATAATCTAACCAATACCTTAAGAATGTTGCTCTTCAAATTTAAATTCCTTAAATATATATTAAGCATTACTCATCTTAAAATTATTTACTATGCACTTGTTCAAAGCAGACTTCAATACTCCATTATCTGTTGGGGGGCTACCACAAAAAATCATCTGAATAAACTGGAAATACTTCAAAAAAGAGTGCTTAAAATCATATACAGTAAAAAAATTAGGTATCCAACAAATTTACTATATGATGAAGTCAAAATTATGGATATCAGGCACTTATATATTTATGCAGTTTTAATGTACACTTACAAACATAAAGATATTTTACAAAAAAAGATCTTTAACTATCAAACAAGAGGTAAAAATACAGGAACAGTATACAGGGTGTACCAATAAAAACTCCCAGGCCGGATATTTTGGTAAGTAATAGAGATATTTTAATTCTGTAAAAGCCAGTTCACAGGGCACTAAGATAGCTTCAGTTTTAGATATAAATTGATTTTAAATAGGTCAATATGTAGATGGCGCTGCGCTCAATAATTATTTTTCGATGGGAGGATCTTTCTTATGTAGCGCATCTTGTAAAAAATGCATTTTTAAGTTAATTTTGTTCTATGAACTAATTCGATAAATCTAGCCATTTTTGATATACAGAGTGGGTCATTCAAAACAGTTTCATCCTGTTTTTCGGAATTATTCATTGTATTTTTGCAAAATGCTAAAACAGATCGATTTTTATTCTAAATTAAAGACATTTATACAATATAGACATATGTCATGTGTCAACCCCCTCCCTTATACTTCTCCACACCTTAATTTTAAATAGGTAATGTACCATGTATGGCTCATCATTGAAAAGGTAATTTAATGGGGGATTCAGAAATATTTCTGTAAATTACGTTACTTAAATTGTATCGCCCTCTAGGATAAAAAACTACTACGTATTGTAGAGTGTGATACTACAATGTGTAGTACATCATTAAAAAGGTAATTTTATGGGGAATTTAGAAATATGACTGTCCATTGTGATACTTTTAATTGTACTGCCGTCTAGCGGAAAAAAAAACTACGTATTTTAAAGTGTGACACCTTTTTTGAAAGCAAATTTAATTACTAATTCAATGTACCACATAACATTAATTAATAACAATATTATTATAAATATCCACATTGCACTTGCAATAGTTTAAAAATTAGTCATGCATTATTTTAAACATTATTGCTAACTTTATTTTGTTGCAAGTGCAATATGGAAATATTTATATTAATGTTATGTGGCGCATTGAATTAGTATTTAAATTAGCTTTCAAATGAAGTGTCACACTTTAAAATACGTTACAGATTTTTTATCCCGATTGAGGGCGCTAAAATTAAAAGTTTCGCAATAAACTGTCATATTTATGACTTCCCCATAAAATTACCTTTTTAATGATGTGCCGTACATGGTACATTCCTTATTTAAAATTAAGGGATTGGAGAAGTGGAAGGGAGGAGGTTGACACATGACAGATGTCTGTATTGCAAAAATGTGTTTAATTTAGAATAAAAATCGACCTGTTTTAGCATTTTGCAAAAATACAATGAATAATTCCGAAAAACAGGATGAAACTGTTTTGAATGACCCACTCTGTATATCAAAAATGGCTAGATTTATCGAATTAGTTCATAGAACAAAATTAACTTAAAAATGCATTTTTTACAAAATGCGCTACATAAGAAAGATCCTCCCAGCGAAAAATAATTATTGAGCGCAGCGACATCTACATATTGACCTATTAAAAATCAATTTATATCTAAAACTGAAGATCTCTTAGCGCTCTATAAACTGGCTTTTACAGAATTAAAATATCTCTATTACTTACCAAAATATCCGGCCTGGGAGTTTTTATTGGTACACCCTGTATACTCACCTTGTTAATAAGTCAACTTCACAGAGATTTTTCTTATATTTAAGTGGAAAAATATTTAATATCCTTCCCGAAATGTACAAAATATATTTGCTTACTATAAACTCATTTCAACTAATCAAAACTTTAATAAGACAATATATTGTAAATGCAGACAGAAAAAGTTTGAGAGCATTGATTGAATAATATGTGGGTACGTCAGCAAAATGTGATAAAACTATTTTATGTATTTTTTAACATTTTACTAAATAAAAAAAAAAGAAAAAAAAAAGAAAAGAAAAGAAAAAAAAATGTTCTTTTTATATTATGAAGAGTCATACATTATAAAAGAACCTAAATAGTTCATATTAACTTTTGTAATTATTTAAGTCTCATTATATTATATCTATTTTTAAAATCTTTTTATTCAATACATTAACATTAATGCACTATATATTTAAATCGTGTATAATAAAAGTATAAAATATAATAAATAGGCTACCAGGTTATCTACATATAACATTATCCTTTGTAAAAATAATTATTGTACTAATAAAAGTGTATTTATAATGTATATGTATGTACCCCATAATGCTGAATAAAGATTATTATTTATATTAATTTAATTCCTTTTAAATTGAAAATTGAATTAACTCAACATCACACAAGCACATTTAAATTACTTTACATCATCATAAACACCGTTACTTGAACCATTCTTACAATTTAAAATTTTCAAGTGTTGAAATAGGCTATCGACCGAAGTTCTTCTGCCTATTGTGCTGTATACAATTACTTAATTATTTCAAGATAAACAAAATATTAGAACAAAAACTACCTCACCAATAGACTATAAATAACAAAGAAAAAATTTCTTAATGCTTAAAAAAGTTATTATTAGTGATAATAATTATTTAATACATATCAGTATCTAAAAGTGTCAATTATTGGTGCAGTTAACTTTATCAATCACTTCCACGAAGTCAAAATAAGAATAATTTTGAATGATTTTCTGGGTTAAATACCGAAATTGTCAAAAATTCTTTATAAATGGATAAATATTATTAATCCAATTTTTACACTATTTATCTAATTAGAGAAGCATGGTTAACATATTTATTACCTTCATTTTCGTCAATTTTATAACTAGATATCTACACAAATACTTAAACTTAACTTGGTGCTGTTCAACTACAAATAAATATAAATAGGTACTACCAGTTAAAGGTGAATCCCACAAACGTTGGAGAAAATACAAATTATATAAGCATACTACATATTGTGGGATTCCCTGATTAATTGAACAAACAAAACAGAAGCAATTTATTTTAATAAAAGGAAAGATTAGTACATGTTAATTAAATTAACTTGTGCATATACAAAAAGAATCATTATTTACCTAGAAATTTGCCAATCACAGTGAAGAGCTGGCGATAAAATAGACAAAATAGTCATCTCCATGCTATCAGCCATCCAACACAACCCCGTCCATAAAGACAATTTCACTTGGAACCAACCGAATCCTAAAGCGTTCACAGCTTGAGTTACAGTAAACGTATCTAAAAACACAATTTTATTTCATAATTTACCATTTTAACACACTTATTTACCGTCAGGTACTACAGAAACGGAAGCCATCTCGATGTCTTGCGGTATATTATTCGTATCCATTCTCGGATTGGTAGATGATTGAGATCCATTATTTGCGTCTATGTCTTGGTAACCTTTTGAACGTTTCAAAACCATTTTAAATTTGGAAAATTGCTAAAATTATTCAAAAAAAATGTTTACGTAGTGACATTTTACGAGTCGGGGCTAACTTCACTAATGTTGATAAATGTCAATCGTCAAATGCCGAATGCCATGTCAAATGTTTCCAAAGATCATGAATAGCTAGACGAAACATTGAAAAGCGAACATGATCAGCATTGAGACCGAGATATTAATACACAACTGAATACGCTGAGAAAACATGCTTATTTTCTACACTGAGGGAAATAGTTTGGCCAATTATCTGAAATCATTGTTATAGGCCATGCGCAAATGTTGTAATGTGATTTAATTACATTGAAGTAGTTAGGGTTAATAGCAATGGTGAAATTTCGGCACAAAATATAATTCATTATGTAATAATTAATTATTTGTTATAAACGTAAAATATGTTTATTATTTTATAATTTACCTATAAAATTTGTTCAATATTTGGTTTATTTATTGTTAAAAATGTAATAAAAGCCCCATATTTAAATTAAATTACCTTCTCCTTAAGTAAAAATAAGGTAAATAAAATTAAGGATACCAAAAAAATTTAGGTAATAATTAAAAAAACATTAAGTTTGAGAGGTTTAACTAAATATTTGCAATGTGCATATATTTTCAAAGCTTTTAGGTTTAAAAAGAACTTACATATTTTTAGAATTTCTGGATTTATATTATATTAAAAGGACTTTCAAGTTTATTACTCATTTCTGTAGAAACAAGTATTTTCTCGCAAAAATAAGCCAGATGTCATTTAAGGTTTATGTATTTAGAATTAAATACCTGGCCTGGCTATCACCCAGACAATACAAATATGCCCATTGGACGTCCATTCGATACAATTTTGGATGTCTAGACGTCCAAAAATGAGTTTTTTCTGGAATATATTTGAAGGTCGAATACTGGACATTCAAAAAAGCGTCCAGGATTATATTTCCATTGAGACCACATCCCCACTTTTTTTACAGAACCGCATCTCATCACACACTATTTTATATTATTAATAATTTGTTTATTATTTTCACAAACCGCTACACACCATTTATTATTTTTTTTAATTAACGATCGCTTGACCTGAGCAGGAATCTAACTCACGACACATCCATTACCGTTTTACGCTTTCAATCGCTAGACGAACTCGACCAAGGAACCACTTGAAAACTTTTTACTAGAAATAGTTATAATGGAATAAGATTTCAAACTTCCGCAGAAACGGACGTACACTGGATGCCCGGATATGGACGTCCTGACCCTCAAATTGATCTAAAGTGGACGTCCAGTGGACTATGTGTGCTCTCTGGGCATAGTCGAATTTTTAGAAATAGTACTTATTTACCCGGACAGCACACCAAATCCTTTGGATATCTACTTGACATCCCAATATCCACTGAATGTCCAGTCCATGGTGGATAACTATTTTATATCCATGAGATGTACTTTATAGACATGCAAATGTCCATAAATAATAGTAATTATATAGCAAATTATTAAAAAATTACGCCATTGTGCTCGCCATTGTGGCTAATAGTATCGTTCAGATATTTAAAATTAATTTTTTAAGGTGTATTCAATATCCCATGGACATCCACTAAATATATCAAAGTCTAGGCGCGAACGCAAACCATGGTGGACATTCATCACTAGATGCAATTTTTGATTTTGTTTACTAAGTATAGATGGCGATACCACTTTCGCTCGTGCTCATGCTCAACCCGTCGTTATTGAGTTCGATTGAAATTTTTATCCCAATCAGACTCCATTAGAGACTGGAGTCGAGAATTTCCATTTATTGCTGAAGAGTCTTAATAAGGATGACTTTCTCCTTAGTGGGCAAAATCAAAGGCAGAGTGTTGAAAATATTTTGAGTGTTGAAAATATTTTTATCTCTGCTATTTTCTTTCGACTTATTCAATAATCATTGGTTACTTATGAACCTCTACTAAAAGATACCCATAAAATATTTTACTGAATATCTTCTATAATAATAATAATAATAATAATAATAATATTTATTTACCAAATAATTACATATTATGTAAGGTTAACAATGTAAAATATAAGCCATATTAGGAAAAATAAATATGATAGTCCCACAGAAGAGCAAGTCTGTGCGTGGGATTAACTATAAATAATTAGTGTCTCTGACAAGTGTTTTTATAATACTTTCATCTAATTAACATATTGCACTATAGATTAATACTAATAACCATCTAATAATAATAACAACAATAACAATAATAATATTAATAATAATAATTAAAAATAATATTAATAATAATAATAATAATAATAATAATAATAATAATAATAATAATACCAATAACAATACAACAATAGTAATAATAATAACTATAATAATTAATTATTATAACTTTTTGGTACACGTAATACATGATTATAAGAGGAACAAAAAAAATGATTTTTTTAGATTTTTTTTTTGTTTTTTTTTATTTTCAATTTTTTTTTTTTTAATTTATTTATTTACCCTCAATTAAGACGTTGATATCTGAGCAACTTAATGTATTACACCACTTTTTGACAAATTTTTTGAATAAGTTAAAGTGATTAAGATTTTTTATTTCTGAGGGGACTAGATTATAACATTTTGGCCCTAAATATAGATATGATCTTTGTAATAAATCTTTTTTTGCCCTGATGACGGAGAAAACATCATTTGATCTATACCTGGTAGGGTATTGGTGATGAATTTTGGTTAATTCCTTTCGATTTTTGTGTTGATGTATAATGAGATTTACAAAATATAATTGTCGAATATCTTGAATTTTGGTTTCACTATAAAGTGTACTACTAGTATATAATCTTGGTTTTTTGAATATTATTTTGAGTATATACTTTTGAATAACCTCTAATTTGTGTATGTGTACCTTATATGTACCTCCCCAGGCAACAATTCCATAAGATAAATGGCTTTGAAATAGTGAGTAATATATTATTTTCAGTTGCTCTGTATCGTAATACCTAGTTAAATATTTTAATTTATAATTGACTGTTCTTAGTTTTTTTAGTAAATATTCGATGTGTATATCCCATTTTAGGTGTGAATCTAGTATTAATCCTAAGTATTTTATCTTCGAAACAGATCTAATGTCCACCCTTTCTCCATCCAAATCTATTGACAAAGTAGTATATTGGGGCAAATAACTGGGATATAGACGGATATTTGGATATCCATATTAGATTCATTGGATATCCACAAAATATATTCTGTGGATATATCTGGGATTTCTTGTATTGTCTGGAGATATCATTAGATATTTTGCTGGATATCCATAGGATATCTTCTATATTCTGGATATAGACGGACATTTAGATATCCATATTAGATCCACGGGATAATTCTGATATCCTGTGGATATATTGGATATCCACAAAAGATATTCTGTGGATATCTCTGGGATTTGGTGTGTTGTCTGGGTAAGTATGTACCAATATTTCCAAAATCAACTTCAGTATGATTTATTCAATAAATGTCAATATGAATGGACGAAACATCTTTGTATTGACATAATTGTAACTTACAATTTAGCCATAATAAAGGGATTACGCCCACTTTGACCAATCCTAATTGAAACACGAGGATTTATTATATTTTTTAAATATAATTTCAAAATAAAATAAACAAAATCTGCAGTTCATTGTTTATTAAATTTATTTAAACATATATTTCACAAAATCCAATACCTAAATATGAAAAATATAATGTCAAAAATGATTAAATCATTATACTTAATATTTATGCATGTAATAAAATTCTTAGTTTCCTAATAACTTTTTTGGCACATTTTATATCTGTATTAGAATACCTAAGTATAAAAAATCTTCATCTTACTACACAAAACAAACACCAAAAAATATCACATTGCTCACGTACTAAACACAACTTGGACTGACTTTGACAGATAACATCATTTTAAGTGATACACAACGTAAAATGTCATTCACCGGGTACACAACTTATTTTCGCATATACGCGTTACAAAACGGTACACTGAAAACAATAAGCTGTCGCTTCTCCTTGATCGGTATTCTCGGATTGAGATTCTCATCTTTCAATACGGCACGTGTTGAGACGCCTATCTTCGTTCCACAGAAGGCGATTCTTATGTCACGTCTCTCTCTATTCGATTCGTTACGTGTTTAGTTCGCACATAAGAATCCTTGTCCTGTAGTGGTAGTGGGATTCTTTCAATACGGCACGTGTTGAGACGACTATCTTCGTTCCACAGAATGCGATTCGTATGTAATCTCTCTGTATTCAATTCAATTGGCATCTCGATATATGCTGTATTGAAAGATGAAAATCCCGCTGTAGATTGGTAATAAAATTAATTTTCGATTTTTTTTTTATCCCTGTAACTTCGTTTTGAGCAAACGGCCCTCTAGCCATTTAAAAGCAAGAAATTTGTTTATGCGATTGAACATTTTGGGGAAACATAGGTAGGTTCAAAAAAAAAAATATTCAGAAACCGATGACTGAATGGATTGATACAACAGAACGTATCTATTATCTTGTCATTTTTTAAATTTATCATCGTAATAAATAGGCAACCCAAATAGCAGAGACGTGTAATATTACAGGGATTTTAGTTTTTCAAATAAAAATAATCTAGTGATATTTATAGATGGTGTAGAAAAGGAAGTTACAAGTTCGTCGAGCTCAAAAGTAAAGTATTAAAAAAAGTGTCTCGGTTAAAACAGTGAAAAGTGTATTGTGATATAAAAATGGCAAAAACCTACGATTATTTATTCAAGTTATTATTAATCGGTGACTCAGGGGTAGGGAAAACTTGTATTCTATTTAGGTTTTCGGAAGACGCTTTCAATACAACATTTATTTCCACAATAGGTGAGTCAGGTTATATTTATTTATATATAATACACCTGTAGACCTTCGAGCATATGATATCGAAGGTTAAATTCGATATTTTCGCCGACAATATCGTCGCAGATCATTTTCATGGTTCCTCAAATGTCTTTAAGAAAACTGGTCAACTGTTTGAACTAGGTTAGGTCAAAACAATTTTTTCCAACCACACCTAAAAAGGAATTTTATTCAAAATAAAGAGTCAATTGTAGATTCCTTGATTGAACTATGTTTGCTTAATTACTTCTGTAGGATATTTCAGGTTCTTGGAAAAAAAAGGATGACTAATCCTTTATGGTCATTTTGGAAATGATCTAAACAGTAATTAGTTTGTTGCTGTCATCATTTCCATACTTTTATTTAAATAATTATTTATTATTTTGTAAATATTTGCAGTTATTTATGTTTGAAATGCTAAACATAGAGGTTAAGTAGCCAATATTGATATATTTTGTCATGCAATAATCATAACTATTTAAATATTTTAACTAATAGTGTGGCGCTAAAATTTAGATTAGATTGAAAGGAATTTTATAAATGTGTAGTCAATTTTAGCAAAAAAAAAACATCAAATAATATCGAAGCATTCCTATGCATTGTTTTCATTAAATAATCCTAAAGTGTTTTTATTGAAATAGCTAACAATTATCAGTTTTAATTGATATAGTTTTCTGTATAAGTTCATTTGGAAACAAATACATGTACATTTAGCTTGTTTGTTTGTTTATATGTGAAAAAAACATAACATTAATGACTACCTTTTGGCAAATGTCCCAAAACATATGGGAAAACATTATCAATTCAAAAACCAATCATGCATCATTAAGGGGACACCTGAACAAAACAGGTCAACAGTTAACAATTCTTAAAGATGAAGTGGTACAATAAGAGACATTACAAACATGGGAAAACTTTTATAGGAAGACCATGTTCAAAAAGAACGGTATAACTACTCTCTATCACTTCAGGTACCAATTATGCAACAGTAAAGGCACACCTGAATAGAACAGGTCATTAGTTATCAGTTCTTAAAGATAAAGTGGTACAATAAGAGAGAGTAAAAACATGGGAAAACTTTTATAGGAGGACCATATTCAAAAAGAACAAAATCTATCAATATAGGTATCAGTACAGATGTATGAAAAAACTTTGAGTGTTTTAGAAAGTTTATAATATACCTTTCTAAAACACTGACAGTTTTTTACCTATATCTGTACCGGGATCTATATTCTGCTACTGTGAACCCCCAAAATTTTGGTCACGAGCTGCCCCTGATCCATATATAATTTTTTTTACATGTTAATACATATCTTCACATTTAAAATAAAATACAATCAACATACATGTAAAATGATAACATAATGTCAACTTTACAAAACAATAAAAGAAGAAAAAGAAGGAAAAAGAGCAAATGGTCAGCAAGAGCACTCCCATAGTTTTAAATATTGCTGCATTTGAAGAGCATTTAATATCATCAGATAAATTAACTGAATGTTGTGTACATTTTTTTGTGGCCTTATAAACTCTAAACATTTTGCTTATTTCGTGTATTGTTTTCAGAACATTCTGATTATAGGGTGAACCGTCCAGTTAATGACCACTTTAGGCAACAGTGATATATACATATTTGTAAAAATGTTCGTTTTGTTTTTAAAAGAAAAAGCAAGGAATAGCTGGATGAATTTGTTTACCAATTTAACTTTTTTAACATAAAAATGTAAACATGTTTATTTGTTTAAAATATTTGATAATTTTTAAGATATAATGCATAAAATCCTAGTAAATGACCAGTTCCTTTGAGTAAATGACCAAATAAAATACCAGTAAATGAGTACAAAACTACTTTATTGCCTAAAAGAAAACATAAATACTTAGTTTAAAAAAATTAAAGCAGTGTTTCATACTTTTCCATTTTAGGAAATTAATACACATTTCCTTGACTACATATCAGCATTGGTGGTTCAATCTTTTTAATTACATCCTCTTCTTTATACCATATTTGGTCATTTTTTTCTGGCTATTTCTAATTTTGTGCACTTTTACACAAGACTCGCACTTCATATTCTCCTCTTTGTTTTCATATAACAACACCAGGATAATAACTGTTCTCATATTTGGCAATCACGAAATCAGCAATGGTAAATGTAGTTGGTGGCATAGATTCATTGATTTCATTTTCATCCTGGTTTTCTTGTTCAATTTCCTCTAAAGATTCTTCATCTGAAATATTTGAATCACTTGAACTTGAAGAAGATTCTCTTCTCTTTAACTTTTTTGGTCTATTTTCTTTATTTTTGTTTAATTCCTCACGTCTACGATTTTTTCCTCTCTAACTTTTTTCTTTGCTCTTTTAATTCTTCAGCAATTCTTTTTTGTTCTTCTTTCTTCTCATGATATTCTTTCCAATATTTGGAAGTTATTGCCAAAGGGACTTTTTCTTTAACACTTTTTTTTAGTGGCAATTTCCAACTTTGGAAAGTGTAAGTGTTCCTTCCAGGAATCTTGGACTTTAAGAGATTTTTTTGGGCTAAAATTTAAATCCTCATTTTGATTTTCAATTTGGGTGCTTTTATTTTGAGTATTGTCTTGGTTTTCTACATATTCCATTTCTTCCTCAATTTGTTCACATATATTTTCATTTTTTTGGGTAATCTCTGGGGCACTTTCTTGATTTTCTTTATTTATATCATCTACATTTCTAATTTCTTCAACTTTCTGATAATCATCAGTTTCTGTGTCCATTATTATTAGAACATTATTTTTCATATTTTCTCTTTCGTCTTCTAATGCAATATAATTCTCGCCATTTTCTTGATTTTCTGCATATCTTTTCCATAATTTAAATAATTTATCATTATTTAAAACTTTTTGTGCTTTTCTCCATTTTCTGTATGTTTTTAAGGTCTCTGGGAAAATTTCACTTTCAAGAATTTTTAAAAATTTTGTTTTATCAATTCCACTCTGATTACTGCCTGACGAGTATTCATACATTTTGAAAAATCAACATTATTTGCATTAAATGGAAATATGCCACATGCTCTGAAGGTGTTTCGTATGGTTTCAATTTTACTGGCATTTTTAAATGCTTGTGCAAAAATAGGTGTAAAAGATACTTTGGTTAGAGATTTTCTTGTTTCTTGTTTATATTTCTGACACTGATTCCTCCAGGATACTTTTAGAGGTCTAAAGATACCAACATCACATGGCTGTAATATGTGTGTAACATTTGGTAATTGACAATATAAAATAATTCTTTTTTCTTGGCAAAAAGTAGCTAGTTCAGGACTGATATGTGACTTATGTCCATCTAGCAGAAAGAGAACAGGCAATTTTATGTTATTATCTAACAGCCATGGATAGAAATTATTTGCCACATACTCAAAAAATGTAGGACCAACCATCCAACCTGTATCACTTCCACCAATATAAAAATTATCAGAGATAGAGTTAGCAATGTCTAGGTATTCTTTTGTATGGATATATTATAAGTGTTGGAGCTACTTTTCCACTGGCAGAAAAATTTGCTAATACAGTCGGGCACTCTTTTTCTTTTCCGACAGCAACATCATAAAAATTTCTAAAATGTTTTGGCCCTAGCACCTTTCCTGTTTTGGGGCATAATTGCACTCCAGTCTCATCAGCATTATAGAGCCAATCAGCATCTTCAAGAACATTAACAGCATCTTCTTCTATTAAATAACTTTTAAGATCCTGAAACCACTTTCTGATGTCTTGCTCAGTGATGCTAGCTAGCTCTAGCTTTGGAAATAATTTCAGCATTTCTTTTCCCAATATCTGGCTTTACTTTTAAAAATCCTTTTAGCCATTTATCACCGGGACTGTTGTTGTTGAATGGATTAGGATGCTGGGTTTCTTCCATTACCTTTTGTACGGCATCTTTCACTTCACGTGGATGCATAGGAAACCCAATTTTTGCTTTTTGGATTATCCAATTCTCCAACATATCTTCTTCCTGAGCAGTCAAGATTCTTGGTGGGTCCATCTTTCTTACTGAAACATTGGATTTTCAATGCAGTTTATTAATTAAAGTGCCTTTTGGAATTTTAAATTGTTTACTGGCTTTAGTAGCACTAATTCTTTCTTCTTGGACTTCTGTCACTGCTGCTTTTAGATCTTCAATGGAATACTTGAATCTTGTATATGCTCTATTGGATGCTTCTACCATCTGAAAATAAATGTTACACAATTGCTTTATTGCACAAGTAATATTTTAATACATAAACAACAAAAAGTCATTGACTAGGCTAAATATCCAGTGAATGACCAGAAGAGCATTTAGATAATAAGAGTGGTCATCTATAGGCTAGTCGATTCCCTCATTATTTACAATGCTTGCATAAAAGAAGCATCCATATAGTGATTAAAGTACATTATCAAAACAAATTATTTTAAAGTTCCCACCAACCCAGTAAATGACCACATTAGGTCATTCACTGAATTTTTCAGCTTTATCATTACCTATTATTGACCATTTAAAAAATAAATACTTTTGAGGTTATATTAGTATTACAGCCTAAAAAATACTAAATTTGATCTTGTTTCATGCAGTTTAGTCCAAATAACATAACAGTTTTACAACTCCAATACATATTTTTTACAAAATAAACACTTAGCTCTACTTACCTTAATTACTTGTGGTTACTTGAGAAGGAAACTAAAACACATGCACTTTTAACTGACATTTGTAAACTGCCGATTATGAGCAGTGTTGTCAAATGTATAAAAAAAATTGAAAATTAGGTGAGGATCAATTTGTTGTATAATATGATGCCTTAGGTTATTAAAAATTCTTAATAAATCATAAATCAGTAAATATTGGTCAATAACCAGACGGTTCACCCTAACTTAAAATATTTTGTAAATATCTCTGTAAATATACTGGGAATATTCCTGATTTAATCTTAAATATAAACAGCTGAGAAAAGAACAGCAAATATTTTTTAACAGACAACCACTGAAGCACATGTAACATGGAATTGATTGGTTCCAATCTCAAACAGTTCAGTATTATCCTCATACAATACATAAAACTTCCAAATACGGTATACTAGCCCACAAATCAAGGCTATGTTAGCCAAAGAAGATATTTTGGGAACTGATTTCAAGAAATACTCCACAAGACAGTGAAATTCATGGGTACAAACACATAACTGAAAAGAAAACTAAATACCTACATTCAAAACATAAAAAAGTAAAAAGAGTAGAGATGCAAAATGACAAAACAAGAAATGAATTGAAGCAACATTTTACATAAAAAGATGACTAAGAAAATGTAGAAATTGGTAAAAGATGAGAATTAAAGGAAATAAAGTACCTAACTCAGAAAAAAGTTCAGTTGAAGTCTGATATTTTCACTTCTAAGGAATTGTACATAGGGTTACTTGGCAGATTAACAAACTAGTCTTATCAAAGGTGAAATGACTGGTCATAAATAAAAAAAAACAATGATAGAAAGATGTATAACAAAATACTCATTCATTGGATAGCATTGGCTAAATTAGCTGAAAAATAATCAATAATATAAAATTTAACTAATCCATAGCAATTCCCTAATATGTAGGTATACATTTTACTATTCACCAAAAGTGAAATTGATTTTTGTTTTAATTTTATGCAAACACTTTCTGTTTGATCAATAATTTACAATTTATCTTTGTTTGCAGGTATTGATTTTAAAATCAGGACAATAGACTTAGATGGGAAAAAAATTAAATTACAAATATGGTAAGATTCTAATTTTATATGTATGTAAAAAAATTGAGAAAAGAAAATAACATTATACATAACTGATGGGACATTAGATCAAAATATGAGGATTGGACCAAAATAGTGCTGCAGAAAAATAACCTGTCAAAGTTATAATAATGTTTTCATGTATTTAGATGTAATTTCAAATCATCTTTATCAATTATGTTCCAATTTGTCAGAGGGGTATTACTTTAGACAAGGAAAACTATTTTTTTGTTTTAAATATTATTGTAAGCAGCACTATGTGAATTATACTTGATGAAATTAGATCATAACTTTGTTATGTAAAATTATACTTGTTTGCACTTGACATATCCAGCTGGTCTAGGGAGAAGCACCGTTAAACAGTCCAGGGCCTCCGAACATGCTTTGAAATAAAAAAAAATTGTTTATATGCTATATAAATAAAATTCTTTCATGAAATGAACTCTAGGAAAAAATACAAATTGTAGCTATGTTATTAGGGTCCAAAATAAACATTTTAGGCATAAGTATTTGGCTCAATCCTCATATCTTTGTCAAAATAATTCATGATTGCTCTATATTTTTAGTGTTCTTAAATGTCCAACAATTGCTTGAAGAATCTGGTATGATATTTATTTACAAAGTAATCAATAAACAACTAGTTACATATTTATAAGGGTTTTTAAGGGAAAGGTTAGACATGCTTGAATACAATTTAAGAATAAATTAGTACTATGTAGATGGGTATCACACCAATATACTTAAAAAAAATCAATATTACAGGGCTAAAAAAGTACAATAATCTACCTCTTATTGAAAAATGCATCGGACTTAATATTAGAGTTAAAAACTATTTATTTTCAAGCCTAAACTTTGTTTTCTTTAGCCATTTTCCCAATGGTTTACCCCTCAAATTGAAACAAACCTTTTTCCAATCTAAGCTTTCTAAACCGTTCCATTTCCAAATCATATTGTTAGTGTATAAGTAAAGTTAATTTTAAATGTATTACATATAATTTTAATTATTACAGATAAGCCATTGGTTTTATCGTTGAATTTTTATATGAAAAAATGAAACAGTCACTTTATTTTCATGATAATTCTTGTCAGTTTTCATACTAACTTCAAAAGAAACTGATGTAATTTAATTTTTCTCTAAAAATTTGTAATTTTTTCCTTATTTAACGGTGAGGTGTTCAAATTGATTTTTTTGGTGATCAAACAGTCATTTCCAACGAGCTATATTTCGCACCTGCGTCATGTTAGCAAGTAGCCATGTTAGCAAGTAGCCAGCCTGCAATAAATTCAGGTGGAGGCCAAAGCGGCAGCGGTCTTACTAAATTTTTAACATCTAATTATTTTAAATTTTGACATAAAGAATATATTTAATCATAATTTGTTGCATTATAATTATTATTACCCTTTCTTAACATTATAATAAGGGATTTAGAGAGGGCTAAAGCTTTTATTACTAGCACAAAATTTGTGTTTTTCAAAAATGTATTTAGGCCATTGGATAGATAATATGCTATATGGGTAATAAGTGATTTAGAGAGCTTTGATATTTCAGAGTTTTTATTGCTGAACCAAAATTTGTTTTTTTTTTTTCAAAAATTTATTTAAGCCATTCAAAAGATAATAAAAAACAAACAATTTTTTCAAATACCATTTTAAATGCTATATGGGTTATAAGGGATTTAGAGATCTATGAAATTTCAGAGTTTTTATTGCTGAACTGAAATGTATTTTTTTTTTGAAAATTCATTTAGGCCATTCGAAAGATGATAAAAAAGCAAACAACTTTTTTAAATACTATTTTAAATGCTATATGGGTAATAAGATATTTAGAGAGCTTTGAAATTTCAGAGTTTTTATTGCTGAACCAAAATTTGTTTTTTCAAACATTTATTTAGGCAATTCGAAAGATAATAAAAAACAAACAATTTTTTCAAATACCATTTTAAATGCTATATGGGTTATAAGAAGGGATTTAGAAATCTATGAAATTTCAGAGTTTTTATTGCTGAACCAAAATGTATTTTTTCTGAAAATTAATTTAGGCCATTTGAAAGACAAACAACTTTTTAACATACCATTTTAAATGCTTATGGATAATAAGGGATTTAGAGAGCTTTGAAATTTCAGAATTTTTATTGCTGAACCAAAATTTGTTTTTTTCAAAAATTTTATAAATACCATTTTAAATGCTATTTGTGTTATAAGGGATTATAAGGGAAATTGTTTGGTTTTTTATTATCTTTCGAATGGCCTAAATAATTTTTTGAAAAAAACAAATTTTGGTTCAGCAATAAAAACTCTGAAATTTCAAAGCTCTCTAAATCCCTTATTACCCATATAGCATTTAAAATGGTATTTAAAAAAGTTGTTTGTTTTTTATTATCTTTCGAATGGCCGAAATAAATTTTTGAAAAAGACAATTTTGGTTCAGCAATAAAAAATCTGAAATTTCAAAGCTCTCTAAATCCCTTATAACCCATATAGCATTTAAAATGGTATTTGAAAAAATTGTTTGTTTCTATTATCTTTTGAATGGCTTAAATAAATTTTTGAAAAAAACAAATTTTGGTTCAGCAATAAAAACTCTGAAATTTCAAAGCTCTCTAAATCCCTTATTACCCATATAGCATTTAAAATGGTATTTAAAAAAGTTGTTTGTTTTTTATTATCTTTCGAATGGCCGAAATAAATTTTTGAAAAAGACAATTTTGGTTCAGCAATAAAAACTCTGAAATTTCAAAGCTCTCTAAATCCCTTATTACCCATATAGCATTTAAAATGGTATTTAAAAAAGTTGTTTGTTTTTTATTATCTTTCGAATGGCCGAAATAAATTTTTGAAAAAGACAATTTTGGTTCAGCAATAAAAACTCTGAAATTTCAAAGCTCTCTAAATCCCTTATAACCCATATAGCATTTAAAATGGTATTTGAAAAAATTGTTTGTTTTTTATTATCTTTTGAATGGCTTAAATAAATTTTTGAAAAAAACAAATTTTGGTTCAGCAATAAAAACTCTGAAATTCCAAAGCTCTCTAAATCCCTTATTACCCATATCTATCCAATGATCTAAATAAATTTTTGAAAAACACAAATTTCGTGCTAGTAATAAAAGCTTTAGCCCCTTTCTAAATCCCTTATTATAATTTTGAGAAAGGGTAATAATAATTATAATGCAACAAATTATGATTTAATATATTCTTTATTTCGAAATTTAAAATAATTAGACGTTAAAAATTTAGTAAGACCGCTGGCGCTTTGGCCTCCACCTGAATTTATTGCTGGCTGGTTACTTGCTAACATGACGCAGGTATATTTCGCTTCCTATTGCATCTACAGAAATGAAAATATACCAATCGATTAATTTTTTAAAAAGCTTTCATTTGTTCATTATGATTTTTTTCATAAAACGTAAGATTTTTTAATTGTGAAAAATCACTGTAAATATGCATTTTTTTTAAAGAAAAAAATCAACATTTTCAATCGCTAATAACTCCCAAAAATATTGATTTATCATAAAATAAAACGTCTAGAACGTTTTTTCTTAGAAAACTTCATTCTATCGATATCTGCAGTTTTTTGAGTTAGTTAACGTCCATCTCAAAAAAGGGATGGCATCAACATCCAGTTGAAAGCACACATCGGCGCTATTCGATATGTTAACTTTTCAATATTGACTCCAGGAAAACGGTATGGAAACACAATGCTATTGAATAGAGAGAAATAGAATAATTCGTCGCTGATTGTGTACCGCAATATTCCATCCTTGCAGTTAAACCAATTATTGTCTTTATCCTCTCGCATCCAAATCTAATTAAGCATCTTATGTTTATTTTGCTCGATGCGTCGGTTAATGATAGGTATTTATTGAAGTAGGATAAACCTGATATACAAAAAAAATATAGAAATACAAATACAGTACACTTAAAACTTAAAGATAATTATTATTAACATTAACATAATCTGACAATGATTTAAGAAAAATAAATTTGTTACACATTACAAAGATACTTTTAATCTTGAGTTTAGACATCCTTAATTAACAATAAAACAAATAACAATTGAAAGCATAAACCCAAATATTAAAAAAGAAGAATAAAAAAGTAATAATCAAATATATAAAAGTTAAAATCAAATTTTATCAGTTTTAATAAAAGTTGTCAATTTTTTTTTAAACTTGCTAATGAGCCCCTGGGCAGTTTATTATATTCTTGGAAACCTTTATACAATAACGATGCTGTGATTTCGAATAATTATATTGTTAGTTGATCTTGTGCTGTAATCATGTATATGCCCATGATAACAAATAAATTGATGAAAGTAGGATGGAGCCAAAGAATGAATTATTTTATAAATAAACATAATTGTCAAGTAGTACAACCTTTGCTGAATCGAAAACCATTGAAGAGAATTTAACATTATGGCAATTGGTGTAAGACGATTAGTTTTTAATATTATGTGCATGCCTCGATTTTGTAGTTTTTGAAGTTGATTTAACTTGTTGAGATTAAATAAATGAAGAATGGAGGCACAATAATCAAAGTGAGGCGGAATAATTGTATTATATACTGTTATTTTAGTTGAAGTTGACAAGTTATTTGAAAGTCTAGAGAAGAAATATATTTTTTTTTATTAATATAATTAAATAAATCATTAAAAGTAAGTAGATTATCTAATTGGATACCTAAATACTTAATAGTTGGTACTATTGCGATTTTTTCACCATTTATTTGTAAATTAACATCAAGTAAGCTATATTTATGTTTAGTTGTAAAAATAAATGCTTTTGTTTTAGTTACATTCAATTTCAATTTGTTAAGTTAAAAATACTGGGCACCTTTCTCATTGCACTCATTAAATTTATCGCTAGCAGAGTGTCATCAGCAAAGAGATTAATGAATTCACAATCAACAAACAGTCCAATATCATTTAAATATAGTATAAAAAGCAGCGGCCCTAGGACACTTCCTTGCGGAACCCCTGTGTCAATGTTAATCTCGGGTGATATCTGATTGTTAAAATGTACTTTTTGTCTACAACCTTGCAGATAATCATTCAGCCACTGGTATACTTTTCCACCTACACCATATTGTTGAATTTTCTTGAGTAATATACCCCTATCAATGGTCTCAAATGTACGTTTCAGGTCTAAAAACACAGCTAATACATATTTATTCTCATCCACATCATTTTTAAATTTACTCACCATTAACTGCAATGCAGACTCAGGAATACTTTTTTCTGAACCCAGACTGGTTAGTTATTAAAATAGAATTATTATTAACATGTTCAAGTAGTTGTTCATACACAACCAGCTCTAATACCTTTTCAATTGACGGGAGAGTATTTACAGGACTAAATTCTTCCGATTTTATTGTATTATACTTTTTGAATTGGAACAATTTTAGTACTGTACTGTATAACTTTTCTTCCTTGAGCCATTCTTTATTTATTTTCCAAATTTCAAACCCCTAATAGTGTCAAAATGTATTTTGAAAATAATGTCCAAAAAAGTAAACTTTTCGTCCTCGCATCATAAACTACGGACGATTTTAGGGACACGGCAGGACAAGAGAGGTTTCGAACAATAACCACAGCCTACTATCGCGGCGCTATGGGCATAATGTTAGTCTACGACATAACGAACGAGAAAAGCTTCGAAAACATCAAAAACTGGATAAGGAACATCGAAGAAAACGCGTCGGCCGACGTGGAAAAGATGCTGCTCGGCAACAAATGCGAACTGGAAGAAAAGAGGCAGGTGTCGAAGGAGAGAGGCGAACAGCTCGCCATAGAATACGGAATTAAGTTCATAGAGACGAGCGCCAAGGCCAGCATCCGAGTGGAGGAAGCATTTTACACGTTAGCTAGGGATATTAAGGCTAAAATGGAAAAGAAATTGGTAAGTAAACTCTATAATCACGTACATTTGACAGTTTATTTCTGATATGCACTTATATTTTTGAAAATATCGTCTTTAAATGATAAAATTTCAGTGATATTTTTAAATTAAGTTCAAAAATAACATTATTAAATATTCGGGTGTTGATAAAAAGTGAAAATCAATACAAGTTCAATCATTTCATCATTGTATAAAGAACTATAGTAGGATAATCGCCATGTAAAAGTTATTGGAGGCAATCGCGCTCCCGACACCTATTGGTACAATAATTGAACTAACGATTTTATTTGCTGCTCAGATACGCCCGTCTACGTCAGATGTTAGAACTTTATAAGCGACAATTCTGTCAAATTAATTGTCAATATATATTTTTTTAGTTATTGAGATTAAATATAATTAAAAATTAGTGATTCTTGTGAAGAATGAATTAATAATAGCATTCCACAAGATATTCGTCTATATTTAGAAATAAATTGAGATTTTAATAAAACTAAAACCAATCTGATTATCTGCGTTAAAAAGTAAAAATTTTTCATAAGTGTCAATAACGGAAATTTAGAGTCCTCGCCTGTGAATCGAGGGGTTCAGAGTTCAAACCCAGGGGTAGTATTCTCGAATCACGAATACCGACATTCGCATACGTGTTTTACAATGTGTCTCACTTTGTTGAACGAACACCAAGTGAGACAAATCATAAATCTCGCATGCGAATCTATATTCGTGACTCGAGAATACTACCCCAGGAGCAGACACTTTTTATTATTAATTTTATTTTCCAAATTGGTAAAACTCATAAATTTCGAAACATTAATTTTATGTTAATGACATCTAAATCTTCATGCTCAAATTTCGTCTTCGTGCGATGGCCACTCGGGATCATCAAATTATAATAAAATATAAGGACCAGTAATTTTTTTAAATACTTGAGACAATGAAACTAAAAACGTGTGTGTCTAAAGGAGAAATATACCGAAAATAACAAGTATTTAACTTTTGCTAATAAATTTGTATTAGGTATGTGTTAAAAGAAAATTACATGATTTTGGATTTGAATATACAGTGTGTCGCAAAATGTATGCACCAAGAAAACACGAAATTACATTTTTCTTTAATCTACGTAAAAAAGTGCGAATTAAAAAATGTTTACTGAAAATTATTAGGTACCTACAGGGTTATTCATTATAAATTACCCACCCTTTATGCCATAATTATTATTGTATAATATTTACATTGGCCGAATTGTTAAAATGTCATCAAGAATACAATGACCATATCAGTGGCGTGCATCTTTCACGGGATACAACATGAATAATATTTTTTAATAGGGATAGCATAGATATATATTTTATTCAATTTTCGGAATGATCTTTTTATTCTTTCCTGATTAATTAAACTACCTATTCGGATTATTTTATTATCAAACATAATAGTTGTGATTTTCATAGCTATTACTTTAATAATGTTAACTTTTTCATATTTACATTATCAACGTTAAATTATTCAAGAACAGTCGGTATAAGATAGGGTTATCAATAATATTACACATTCTTGAAATAAAAGAAAATATATATCCCAGAAATTTAATAACAGGGTATCCCATTTAAAAAATTTTTTTGTTAAATTTTAAGTTAACATGTTTTGTCAATTTTTTCAAATTTATTTTGTCATTTTTTTTTAATTTTTTTTGTCAAAATTTTGTAAAATTTTTATCAATTTTTTTTGTAAATTTTTTTGTCAATTTATTTTTGTAAAATTTTATGTTAACATGTTTTATCAATTTTTTTGTAATTTTTTTTGTATTTTTTTTATGTAAATTTTTTTGTCATTAGTCAATTTTTTTTTAAATTTTTGTAAATTTTTTTTTATTAGGTATTTTTTATGTCAAAATTTTTTATCAATTTTTTTTAAAATTTTTCATGTCAAAATTTTTTGGCATTTTTTTTTTTATTTTCAAATTTTCAGTTAAAATTTTTTGTTAAATTTCCTTGTCATTATTTCTGTCAAAATTTTTTGTTAAATTTTTTGTCAAATTTTTCTTTCTCCAAAATTTTTGTCATTACATTATCAACGTTAAATTATTCAAGAACAATATTACACATTCTTGAAATAAAATATATATATCCCAGAAATTTAATAACATAGAGGGTATCAAATTAAAAAATTTTTTTTTGTCAATTTTTTCAAATTTTTTTTTTCAATTTTTTTGTTAAAATTTTTTAAAATTTTTATTGTAAACATTTTTATCAATTTTTTTTTGTAAATTTTTTTTGTAAAATTTTAAGATAACATGTTTTGTCAATTTTCTTTTGTCAAATTTTTTTAAAAATTTTAGTGTCAAATTTATTTTGTCATTTTTTCTTGTAAAAATTTTGTCATTTTTTTTTGTCAATTTTTTTTTGTCAATTTTTTTTTAAGTTTTTGTCAATTTTTTTTTATTAGGTATTTTTTGTCAAAATTTTTTGTCAATTTTTTAAATTTTTTATGTCAAAAGTTTTTGTCAATTTTTTTTGAAATTTTTTATTGTCAAATTTTCAGTTAAAATTTTTTGTTAAATTTCCTTGTCATTTTTTCTGTCAACATTTTTTGTTAAATTTTTTGTCAAAATTAATTTGTCATTTTTTTTATCAAATTTTTGTCATTTTTTTTTTCAATTTTTTTTTTTAAATATTTTGTTAAAATTTTTATTAATTTTTTTGTCAAATTTTTTCTTTTTTTAAATTTTTTGTCAATTTTTTATTGAAATTTTTTATTGTCAAATTTTTAGTTAAATTTTTTTGTTAAATTTCCTTGTCATTTTTTCTGTCAAAATTTTTTGTCAAAATTATTTTGTCGGTTTTTTGTAAAAAAATTTTGTCAATTTTTTTTTGTCAAATTTTTATTGTAAAAATTTTGTCATTTTTTTTTCATTTTTTTTTTTTCAAAATAATTCGTTAAAATTTTTATTTATTTTTTTATCAAATTTTCTTTTGCCAAAATTTTTGTCAATTTTTTTTTGTCAAATTTTTTTTTCTTGTAAAATTTTTAGTTAAAATTTTTTGTCTAAATTTTATTTGTGTTTTATTCCGTGAAATCTGAATACGAATGTGTTTTTATGGTATATTTAAAAAAAAAGTCAATCATATCTACAAACTTTTTTTAAAGCTTTTTTTGAATAATGAATAATTTTGTACATGATCTCGAATAAATTTGTTGAAATTAATTTCATTTATAAAAATGTCACTTCTGCTTCTCCCGTATTGCTAAAAAAAAAATTGTGTCTGGGTCTGGGATTTGATGGTAAATATTGATTCTAAATACATTTTTCAAGTAACATTGTCTTCCTGTTTTTAGAAATAAAGGTTACTGTTTAGCCAAATTTATATATTTTTTTGGACACATATTATGTTTATATAATATTAAAAACTTCCCCTACTAAATATTTTGACTCAATCAATGTTAGAAAAAGTAGAAATAATATTAAATATAATAAAGAAATTAAAAAAATCATTTAAAATTAGTTTAAGTTATATTATTCAAAGAAACAAATTTTTAGCTTGCACTTAAAACAGTAAAGAACCACCTGAGAATAATCACTTCAATCTACCTATACTAAGAATTATTCATAAAAATTAATTATATTTTCCAAACCTAACACCAACTGGATTATCAACAAAAATAATCCTTATAAAACTCATTGTATTTACTTCAATATTAAGAATTCATTTATATTATTTACCAACCAAAGGATTTTTTTTGTTACATTATTACGTACCAGATTAAAGGAATAACCTGTTGTTTATGATTACTTCAATGCTAAGTACTTAGGTAGGTACCTACCTACCTACCTACCTACCTATGTATGTATTTGAATTAAAAATACAATTTTTCTCAACACTTAATAAATGTATTATTATTGGTAATATTAATATTATATAATTTATTTTAAATTATTTTGGATAATACCTGTAAAGGAAAAGAAAAACAAACGCATATTTTCTATTTTATTTTATAAATACACAAATTTTTTATTCTAATTTTAAAACAATAATTAATAGTTAACTAATTTATCATAATATATATCATTAAGAATGGGACATAGTACAACTGAAGACTCTCTGATTAAAAATAAAACGATTAAACGAAATATGATTAGAAAAAAAATTACCCGTTTTCGAAAGTTGAAAATTCAAAAATTATTGATGGCTATATTTTAATTTTTCAGTATCATTTTACTGAATTCGGTAAATATTTATTTAGACTATGATTTAATTTTATTTATATAAATCATGTACTCTTGTTGGGAACTCGTCCTTTATTAACAGTAAAATATTTCAGTAATAAAAAATAAACAACTAATTCACAATACCTACTACCCATAAACGAACAATATTAACCATTACCTAGAAAATAGCCCAAACAATGAATAATGAGTGAATAAAATTTCATCTAAAAGCTAAAAATAGAAATCCATCGATCTCCGTCATCGGTAAATATTTCAGCTCGGCCTTCAAGTCCGCCCACTTCAAAACAAGTGACTTTCGACTTATCCAAATTTACTAGCGCCATCTATTGGTAGTATCCATTTCGCTCCAATGAAACTTCCATAAGGTGATACTACTATTAGTTCTTTATAATATAATGATTGCATCTAATAAGGTAGAATGTTTTGGAGTGAGGGTAGCCATATGTGAGTAGTAGGGATTAAGTGTAAGGGTTAAAGAAAAGGTCCTTTATTTCTCACAAGCCAATTAAATTGACTTGTGAGAAATAAAGGACCTTTTCTTTAACCCTTACACTTAAGGTAGAATGTGATTGGACCAGAGAGTAGTATAGGTATTTTAGTTCCACAATGAAACCTAAAAAATCACACTCTTTTATTGGCTTTACAAAATTGATTGATTTTTATATTTTTATTTGAATATTGTTCTTATTTTTATCTAACAGGTAATATTTCCTTCATCTTAAATATTTAATGCAATTATTTTTGAACTTCGTTTTACTCAAACACTAGGTATTTATTCTAATGTACTCTTGTATTTTTTCTTGCTCACCCTGTATATTGGCAGAAGGTAAATAGTATTTTTTCTGTAGGCATGTTAACACTATTAATAACCTATTTTATTTCGCTTTGTTCTTTTGCTTTTTTTGCAAAGTTTGTTTGGCAAACTATGGAATAAATTTATGTTTGAACTTGTTACTATTCAAATTTGAATTAAATCTCAATAGAAGTCAATTGAAATTCTAAATTAAAGTTAAAAATAATTTTATTCCATTGTGAAGTACTAATTTTATTAACATATTGTGTGCTTCATGAAATCTTAAGTTTTAAAATATATTTTTTTGTTTGCATGTGGGTCTCCTTATTTTTTTTTTTTTTATTTAAAAAAAAGTTGTGAAAATGGCATTTAAGCAATTTTAACTAATATTAATATACATATTTGATAAAACTTCTAAAATTTGAAAGACACTAAAAGGCTATATAGAAATAATCAATTTTTTGTCCAATATAATAACAAATTGGCTTTTAAACATTTATTAACCAAAAAATAATATTCTAATTTACAAAATACAAGTTGTAAATGTAATTTTAAAAAACCTTCAAAATGGTGCAGATGCACAAATTAAGAGGAAAGGACCTCCCGCGAAAGCAAAAATGTTTTAGGGATTTTCTAATATAAAATTGTATCTATATGCGTGCCACTGGGAATACTTAGTGTTATTATGTGTCTTGACAATATTAAGAGCTTTAAATTTGTGCAACGATAAGGCAACACTCTACAGAGACGTTTAAGAAAAAAAAGGTGGGAAAGCATATCATTTAAAAACTATTTGATTATTATTAAAACTAAAAGCAGCAAATTTTCATAGATGTAATACAGAATGACGTGAAAATGTTCTTTTTTGAAATTTCTTTTAAACATTTTCAAAATATATTCTTTTCGAACATACATAAAAAAAATTCTGACGAATTGAGAACATCCTCCTTTTTTTGAAGTCTGTTAAAAATAATCAGTTTTTTGTTTAAGAATTACACAAAATATTTTTTATTTCTAGGATGGCGATACTTTCCTTTTCCACCATTCTTTTTTTGGTTGAGCATATTATTAACACTTTCAATGTCCACATTGAGCATATTATTAAAAATGAATACCTTATTATTTTGTTGGAGTTTAAATGAGATATTACAAAACTCAGTGGCGTGCGGTGACATTTTTGGAAGGGGAAGCGATTGTATAAAAATACAGCAGGCCAGTAAGCACAGCGCCGCAGACGAAAATTTTTCGCGACGCATTCATCATTTTGTCAAAATCTTGCTTTTTTCCTCAGTACTAAGGAGATTGAGATTTTTGAAGTGTTACTATTACTTTTTTACCTAGTTTAGGGTCGGTCTTTTCACCTTCAGATAAAGTGTCAGGTAATTTTTATCTCCCAAGTAACTTAAAAAGTAATCTTTTCACTTCTGGATAAACCTAACTTCTAAATGATAACTTATCTTACCTATGAAATTCCTGATAAAATACTTCACTGATGGATAAACATGTAGCTACATAACTACATAAGGTTAAAAACTACTGGATACTTACCATACATATTATTTACTGGTAAAAACAGAAAACTAATTATCTGACAGATAGTAACTCTCAGATAATATATCCGTCAGTTAGTTATCTGGAACTCTATCTGAAGGTGAAAAGACCGACCCTTAGTACTAGAAACTATAAAAAAAGTTACCATTGAAAAGCTTTCTTGGTTCATTTAAACGTAAAAAAAAACATTTAACTGATTTTTTTTTTTATTTTCTCCAGCATTGCACAGTTGACACAACATTTGACATTTATTTATACATAAGATCTATTCGCCTATCCTCAATGGCTGCAAATTTGTCTATAACATCGTCGTAAAATTTTGGATTGTCTTGTTGAATTTCGTAAAAAACTTTTAATGCGTTGTAAAGCTGAAAAACTTCGCTCAACTGACGCACTTGTGGCTGGGATGGTTAGTACTAATTCACACATCTTGGCAACTTCCCAAAGGGACTTATTTAAACCAGTTGTTATAAGAAAATTTAACACATTTTTTATCACTAATTTCAGTTGTTTCATAAATAACACTTAACTGGGACTTTAATGCTGGAATATCAAAAAAATTTCCATAATTTAATTTTAGTGAATTAAAAGCTTCCGATGGAAATTTTGATGAATCGTAGTTACTAATATTAAAATCGCACAAATTTTAATCCGTTAAAGTTTTGAAATCGAGAGTTCATTTGTTGTAGAATATTATCAAAAATTTCGGCGTATAATTGACAATAGGAGGTCTCTCGCCGACATTATCAATTCCAATTCTCTTTCTTTCAGGTTCTAAGCCAATGTTTTGAGTCTTATTCCAAAAGTGTTCGAACTGATCTCGTTTTTTATTCATTTTATTTTTAAAATCATCAATTTGTTTAATGCAAAAGCCAATGTCATTTGACTTTGTCTGTAAAATGTCGAATAAAATGTCAGTAAAAGGGAAAATCTCTGCAAAAACGTTGAACAAAAAATTGAAATCAAAGTTTTGTTTGAGCCAATGCAAATACCCTTTAGCAGCAGTAACAGTTTCAGCATCCAATGCTTCTTTATTATCCCAAACGTCTTGAAAAAAGTGTATCAAAGAATCACGGTATTGAAACACTGTTTGCACTAAACGTCCATTGTATCCATCGCGTCGGAGCAACTTTTGGAAACCTTTTTTGAACGTGAATGTCCAAAGCGCGAGTTCTTTTCGATGACTTTGAAAAGAAGGAAGCCAAACCACTAAGCGTCGAAAAGAAAACTTTGCAATCTTTAATATTATCCATGCTTCGCGATAAAACCAAATTAAGTCTATGTGCTATACAGTGAACGAAAATGAGCGTATTTCACGTGTCCAAACAGACTGACACTGTCGCTGCAAAGCAGGGTCAATAACACTAAGCGGAATCACTTGCAAGATGAACCGGTTATTTCAAGATGCGCTTACGGCGACGGACTCGTGTGTACGTTTACACTAATTTTCTCATGGGTGGTGCGTGCGTTTACACACCAATGAATTGTTAGTACATTTACGAAGTTTACGTAATGTTTCAGAGAAAATATAGTACCTAATTTAATATTAATTTCTATGCATTGTAAACTTAAAAATATTTATTTTTTAAATTTCAAAGTGTAGGGAAGCGGTGCTTCCCCCGCTTCCATGGACCGCACGCCCGCACTCCACTTGACATTAGAAATTTTAAATATGGTTGCTCTCTCTAGCTCCCTCATTGAAATGAGAGATAAGCTTATCAATTCATCTCATTCCGTTTAAAATTCAGAAGGACTCTAGTTACAACCGTATTGTATAAATATTGCATGACATATATTTTAAAACTTTCTTGAGGGAATATTTATTATACAATTTTAAAACAGAGTTTCTCAAAATTTAACATTAATTAAAATAAAATGTTTATTTCGTTTTCTTTTTGAATAATTTAGGAGGCAAGCAATCCACCACGAGGCGGTCATCAACTCAAAGCGTCCGAACTCCAAAAGAAACCGACCAGCTGGCTGTCAAGATGCACCATCCTCTGACCAATTCCATGGCTCATCTAAACCATTACACACACCCGCGTACTACCATCTACCATCTCGACAACAAAAAACAACAATAACAAACACCCAAGACTAATCAATCTATTATACGCCAAAAAAAAAAAAAAAATAGAACGGAAATCGCAGAACTGCATACAGGGTGCGTGTACGCTAGTGCGAACTGAGCCGGTCAATTAATTGACATGCCTTTCTTTTGGATCATTTCATTTTTCTGGACTATAGGGACGCAGCAACGAAGCAAAGACCCCTCGCATTGCTGAATTCGCTTTAAAGATGGTAGGGACGAAACGTTGCCTTCAAATTTTGATTAGCTAGCTCTCAAATTTTTATTTATCGATTTTATGACGTAGTGTTCAAAGGTTGTTCAGGATGAGGTTAAGCCGAGGGGTAAACTACTGTCAAAACGTTAACGTATTTCGGCGAAATCCCGATTACTTTTATACGTTTTTGGCGATTTCCAATAAATGATCATTATTATTGTTCCATTTTGAAGTTTTCCTCAGAGAAAATATAATTTTTCTTGAAGAATGTTCAAAATACCTCTTTTTTGATCTTCACTTGATCTGAAATTTGTAGCAACTTCGGTTATTTCGGATGAAAACGTACTAGTATTTCGGGTTAACCTTTTTACCTTTCTCATTTTTATTACCTATTGTTGCGGTATCTGATCGGATATGTGAACTGTATTCATTACAAGTTTTCTTGTTGATAATACGTGTATTCCCACACCGATCAGAAACGTGTCACTGACGTTAGGATTCGGCGCAGTTGATAATTGAGCGTTTCAATAAATATTTCTTACAGTTTGGAAACGTACTTAACGTTTTTCTGCCTATGAGTCTCTATTCCTCACTATTAATCTGACCGTCTCGCTAGACTCAACCTTTTTTGAGCGCCAATGGCAACTATACGTTCGAGAGCGGTCCAGCAAGAACCGAGTTTGTGTATATTTTCTTTTTTATGCATTTTTTGTGGGAACAAACCTAATGTTCGACCTGCACACCTACGAACACGTGATCGATAAATGCAACTAGAGTTAGTTAACCATCTCTTGTGGAAAGCGATGATTCGTCTCTTTAAAAATCTCTTTAAAGTCGATTTTATGACTGTGGTAATAGTATTCTAGCGGACGATTAAATGTGGTTGTTTTTTTTTATATTTTAATTTAGTTGAACGTCCGTCTAAACTAATTTTGTTGTTCCGGCAATCGCGGGGGTTTGTGTTTCTTCTACTACATATTTTTAAGTATATTTTTTTATCATTCAAAACAACGGGACGATTTCATTCACTGTTTAAACTTTACTATATAGGCGTGTCGGTTGATTTTTTTTTTGATATTTTTGTGATTAAGGGTAATTTTTTACCGCTATATGTATAGGGATATTTATATTTATGCACATTTTTTTAAAAGTATTCTGGATATTTTTCGACATTGACGGTTTTGGAAGATAGACGTGTTTTTTTGTTTTATTATTAATCAGAAAATTTAGTAGTGATAAAAATTGTCACGTCGATTGAAACGTAAATTCCAGTAATATCTCCAAACTATTTGCTAATATACGAGGAAGATGTAAAAGTTTTTGACATATATTAAGAGATATTTTTGAAATAATATTAGGGGAGTTTACATTTTAAATTGAAGCACTTACTTTAATTATTAACAATATTTTCTGAGAAACTGACAAAGTTGATGATACAAACTGTAGATTCATACATACATTTTTTCTCCAAACTTTTTGTTATAAATTTAATAGATAATTTAGATGAAAGTTGGAGCGTTGCTAAAATATGAATTTCCGTAATGAATTTTCAAAAATATCTTTATGTATACGAGGGTGGTTAAAAATTTACTTTTTTCTTTTATCTAATTCAAAATGTTTGATTTTATTTTTGGTGCAAAAAAATCCGTACCATCTTCCAAGCCCGTCTGAAATCTTTAGTTATCCGCTTTAAAAAAAATTCAAAAATCCTTTTCGGCCAACCGTTTTTTTGTTTTATTGTAAATAAACAGAAAAAAAGAGAAAAACTTCGGATGGCGATCGATTTTGATTATTTTTTTATGATTTTAGATAAATATTTAGCTCATAATAAAGAAAAAACAAATGTTTATTTTTTTACAACGGGCACCAAGCAACCAACACGTATACTGATAGTAATATGGTAGAGGTGGGTTTTCAAAAAAACAAAAAAAAAAAATAGGTACTGGGTGCATTTTCAAATTTATTAACCAAAAAAATGTTTTTTTTATTTTAAAAATATTTTCTTGCAGCATTTTAATACTTTGAATTTCTACAAGCTTCAAATAACGTTCTGAGACTTCGTATTTCACTACGAGTCGTAAAAAATTGTTTACGAATTCACATGGTGTTAAATCTGGTGAATACAGTGGAAGTTCTTAAATTTTGGTGCAATAAATCAACCGTTTTCTGTATAGTATGGGATGAAGAATGGTTGCGATCTAACACTATACACTTCTCACGTTCACATCTCTCCAAACACTTCTTGTTAGGAAGTTAAACATCTTTTTATTTGTTCCCAAAAACTTTTTTCCTATTTCCACTTCTGGCGCAAAGAACCCCGCACAAATCTTACGGAAATTGGCTCCCGGTCAAATTGGCTGAAATTTGGATATGTTGTTCGTTTCGGCATCCTGAGCAACAGTCTCAATGGACGCAAAGCTCAATTTTGCTTATTTTGGCTCCTACGGAGCTCCAAAGCTCCACGGTTTGACCATTATTTACTACTTAAAAAGGCAATTTCCTCGAAAGTTTGGTATTTGCTGCTCTAAAAAAGAAGTACCTTATGTTTTCGGGGTCGCTGCATTCAAATTCAATGCCAATATAATAATATTGACAGTTGACAGCTGTCAACTAACTGTCAAACACTATGTGACAATCAAAATTGATAAAATTCAGGAGTAAATAGATGTCTTCGAGGTTGCTGAGTTCAAAACTAATGTCCAAAAGACGATATTGACAGTTAACATCTGTCAACTAACTGTCAAACAGTATGTGACAATCAAAATTGATAAAATCCATATGTAAATATATGTCTTCAAGGTTGCTAAGTTTAAAATTGATGTCAAAAAGACGATATTGATAGTGATCAGCTGTCAACTAACTGTCGAACAGCATGTGACAATCAATATTAATAAAATCCACATATAAATATATGTTTTTGAGGCAGCTGAGTTGTTAACATCAATTTTGAACTCAGCTGCCTCAAAAACATATTTACATGTGGATTTTCTTAATTTTGATTGTCACATGCTGTTTGACAGTTAGTTGTCAGCTGCTAACTGTCAATATCGTCTTTTTGACATCAGTTTTGAAGTCAGCAACCTCGAAGACATCTATTTACTCCTGAATTTTGTCCATTTTGATTGTCACATACTGTTTGACAGTTAGTTGACAGATATCGAGTTGTTAACATCAGTTTTAAACTTACCAACCTCAAAAACAGATATTTACATGTGGATTTTATCAATTTTGATTATTGCTTGTTTGACATCTGTCAACTGTCAATATTATATTGGCATTGGATTTGAATGCAGCGACCCCGAAAACATAAGAAGGTACTTCTTTTTTAACGCAGTAAATACTAAACTTTCGAGGAGATTGCCTTTTTAAGTAGTAAATAATGGTCAATCCGTGGAGCTTTGGGGCTTCGAAGGAGCCAAAATAAGCAAAATTGAGCTTTGTGCCCATTGAGACTTTTGCTCAGGGTGGCGAAACGAACGACATATCCAAATTTCAGTCAATTTGACCGGGAGCCAATTTCCATAAGATTTGTGCGGGGTTCTTTGTCAAATCTGCTGAATACGGTGGATGCTCTAAAGTTTGATATTATTTTGGTGCTATAAATCTAACGTTTTCTGTGTTACATGAGATGAATCATACTCCAATGTTTGCATATCTCCAAGCATTTCTGGCGGGCAAGTTATATCCCTCCTGATTGTAGTTTTTTTTTTTCAAATTTCCCTAAAAAACCGATTAATTTCCGCTTCTAATTAATACTTTTTAACTTAGAAGTCACACGTTGTCAAATCTGGCGAATACGGTGGATGTTTAATATCTTTTGACATTTTTTGGTAAGTCAAATCGATTGTTTTCTGTGCTGTGTAATAGGAAATAATATGGTTGCATTTCTAATTCACTTCTTACGTTCACGTCTCTCCAAACACTTCTAGCGAGCAAGTTTTAATTATCTTCTGTTCGTTGTCTTTTTAAATGTCTCCCAAAACTGATTTTTCCTTATTCATTTCCGTTTCTAAGGTAAATTCTTGTCCCCGAAGTCACATGTTGTCGATTCTGGAGAATATGGTGGCTGTCTCAAAACTTTCACTTTGTTTTGGTGCTGTAAATCGAGCGTTTTCTGTGTTGCGTGAAATTGCAGCATTGTCGCGATATAACATTGACTTCAATTTTCACATCTCTCCGCACTTCTGGCGAATAAGTTAAATCCCTCCAGAGTGCCTTTTTTTTTTAATTGTCTCCAAAAATTCGATTTATTTCCTCTTCAAATTGATATTTTTATCTATAAAGTCACAAGCTGTCAAATCTGATGAATACGGTGGATGTTTCATATCTTTTAACATTTTTTGGTGAGTCAAATCGATTGTTTTATGTGCTGTGTAATATGAAATAATATGGTAAATTCTTGTCCCTGAAGTCACATGTTGTCGATTCTGGAGAATATGGTGGCTGTCTCAAAACTTTCACTTTGTTTTGGTGCTGTAATTGACTCCAATTTTCGCATCTTTCCAAACACTTCTGGCCAACAAGTTAAATCCCTCTAGAGTGTCGTTTTTTGAAATATCTCCGAAAAATCGATATATTTCCTCTTCAAATTGATATTTTTATCTTCAAAGTCACACGTTGTCAAATCTGGTGAATATAGTGGATGTCTTAAAACTTTAACGAGTTAAATTGATCGCTTTCTGTGCTGCATGAGATTAAATAATATGTTGCAAATTAACA